GCTGTATCCCTTCTGAATTTCACCCTTTTTTTTGGTGATTCGAAACTTGTCATCTACGCGGAACCGAGCCTGCTGCATGGGAGGAATGCCACCGTAATTCAGCATCAACAGCATTCTAATTAACAGTGATATCATCAGTGATATCAACGCTATGTAAACGGATCACAACCCACCATCTACAGTCTCCCAAATGTTTCGCCTGGCATGAAGATCATTCAAAATTCCCAAAACTTATTCTATTTACCAGTAACACGGAGAACCATCCATCACATAAGTACTTATTTAACTGATCAAGAATTCCCACTAATCTCAGACGTAAACATTTTAACGATACGTTTTCATTTTCGTGAGGTATAAATAAATGAGTTATCACACATGGTTTGAATTTAACATAAAATAAGGTTAACAAATTACAAAAAGCAGCACAGAATGGATGCTCGGTCAGCATCCGTTTATCGCATGCTAATCTATCGGGGGAACACAAGATGTTGCTCACTCAGTGACAAATGCAAAAGATCGACATGCTTTTGAAGAGTGGTGAAGGTGGTATGGTCTTGGAGCAGAGTATAAAACAGCTAAAACAAAACATGCAAAAGGAAGGTTGATTCTTACCCATGTTGGCCGGTTTGGCTATGAGAGCTTTTCCCATGTTAGCAAAGAGTGTACTACCTGCTTTTTGAGTGAGTGCATTGATTGGATTATGAAGCGGTGCCATGAACAAAGCCATAGATTCTGATCTCTGCCTCAAACGCGGAGGCAATTTGTGTTGTGTAAAGGCTCACGGTAAAGGTATGTATCTCACCCCAGGTCAATTACCTTCTACCTATCGAAATGGTCTACTTGAAACATGGTAGACAATTCTACGGTCAGGGGTTAATTCTACGTTCTAACAGTCCTTTTAAAACATTCCTCTCTTAGAGGTATGATCCTCCAGGCTGTAAACGAACGGATGAAGTAGACTCTGGGAAGCAATCGTATCGAGAAGCCAGGATCCGATTCGTTGAACATGAGCTAGAGATAGAAATGCATAAATACACTCGAATACTAAAATCATACAACAGACTAGACAATGTGCTTTCCGTTGCATTAGGAACTTGTAACAAGTGTTCTGTTCTAAACATCGTTTGTACATCCGGTGCACTTAGCACAGCTGCAGAAATCGGATACATTGATTGCATTCCTTCGAGTTCACTAGCTGTCATTAATTCGTTGGTGGGGTTAACAGTGTTATCCAAACGTATCAACAAAAACCTTAAAAAAAACAACCATAAAGATACCGTACGCCTCATCAGAACCTCCAGATCTAAGATTGAAGATGGTCAGCAAGGCTTTGGATGATGAGTATATCAGTGAAATAGAATTAACAGGTATTGTCAAATTGCTTGAACTTTTACTACGATGACAAACTGCGACAAGATACACCATATACCGAGGACCTTACTGCGCATGCGCCGTAATAAACGTTCCACCACTACACACATCACTCCGTTACGCTCCGCAATGTGTTCCGTTAGGAACGTTTTCCCCCTTCTCCTATATAAATAATTTCTAATCCAGTTTTTTTGCCGGATTAGAAATTAGAATCTTTTAATTTTTTTTTCAATTTTTACTTACTTTCTTAACAAGGTCGTATGAGAAATACTCCTGCTTGGTCTTTTTACTCACTTTGAAGCCTGTACTCTTCACAATGGCTCTTTCCAAAGGTTCATTTTCTTTCTTTAGTCAGTACAGTCCCACACCCTAGTCGTTTCCCCTTTTCTGTTTTTCAATACCAAACTTACCATTCACTTCTACCACCTCCAGAATTTTGTAAACCACTCCAGTGGGTAGTTCATTCCATTTTATAGTTTCCTGACTCTGCAACCTTTTCCTGCAAGTTTTCCTGCAAGATATCTTCGCTCATAAAGTCATCTTCTTGTTCCATTTCAACTTCATACTTTTTTTAAATATGCCATTTAGTATAGTACTCACAAAAGACATTGTTCTTTGCAACTCTTTTTCAATTTTGGATGTAGGTATCATACTTTCCGCCTCGAAATTGGGAAGCGCCGGATTTAAGCGCGATACTTTTCCATTGGAATTAGGTAGTGCGGCAGAAACGGTAATTTGACACTATCTGGTAGATGATTTTCTACATGAATAATCTGGCCTGATAATAAACGGAAATAAATAACCTTGCATCAGACAGAACGAAAACTAATATTCTGCCCAACAAAATGCCGGACTATGCAGAAAATAGTTGTGAACAAAAGTGAGAATTAATGTCCACGCAAAAACCCGCGCAAAATTAAAAGAAAGTCGTACTAGCAAAACATGAAAATGAATATTCCCTCCGAAAACAAAATCCCCCGCGCCAGAATATCAAATGGTCGTCCCAGACCAAACATAGATAACTTTAATACATTTTTAATACTGATGATTGCTATGTCATCCCCAAGATGGCAAAATTTTGCAAACTTGTGCTATCAGTAATAAAATAACATATTGTCTATCATTTTTCATTTAATCATGCACTATATTATGCTATTTCAGGTTTCACCTGTTTATCAACTTTCCTTACCGTATATGTGTTATGTTAATTTGTTAATTGTATATGTTATTCACATAGCTCAGAGGCCTTTGTGCACGGGGTCTTGAATTAAACTTGAATCATGTACCCTCATTTTATGGAACACAATTGGAATTAAATTTTGTTTTCAAGAGGGATTTGTACTTTACCGCTACCTTTTAGCTCCTCGATAACGCCATCATTTTTTTCAATGAACATTGAACGACCATCAGGTGTAGTAAGGGTTAATCAAAAGTGGAAAACCATGACCACTGAACACATTCTAAGTTGAATCTGACGGACTTCTTTAAATATTCTGTGGTAATTACTGCTACATGGTTTGTAAATTATACTACTGCTACATGTGGGTTTTGATTTTTATTGTGTAATGTCTTTGTGTGATTATATTATAACAAATGTGATGAAAAAGACAATTGTTAATGTTACTTGTTTTAAGCATTCATTGCTCTCGAGGACAATTATTGATATCAAGTGGTATTAACACATATTGCAGTCATAGGCTATGCTGTTCCTGATTCTCATTCTAAATTTTTTTATATTTCTGCCAGAGATGTCTAGCTATTGATTCTCATTAATATAAGCGAAAATTGCTAACAAGTAGTGTTCTCGTCTGATGACAAACACTGGCGCCTCAGTCGGTTTTTGCATCTCGTTAGGGTTTTTACTTTGAATGAAATGGTTATGACGTTGTTGTTTTTTTATATTCTTTAGATCTGATTGGAAGAAGAGAATATTCAATTTTGTCTCTTCACGGACGTGTGTTTTACATGTTGAAATGATTTCTAGAGGCTTTAATAGATACATTTCTCTTATGGATTACCACTAATCGTGTTTGTTTTGGATAGTACTAAAGATCGCTCCATTTTTTTCTTTTTCGCTGCTTATCCTTGTGTTAGCCTAATTATTCAATGAATGTGTGTAAAACAGTTTATTTGTGCAAGAGTGCTGCATTTTACAAAATTATGACTACCAGAAGCATATGTGATTCTGTTTTTATATGCTAACTTATTTTATGCATTTTCCGGGTACGACATTTTAAATAATGACCGGTTATTGCAATAAGGAGCCAGTGGATAAAGTTTATATTTAGTTGTGCGTCTGCCAATTGCAACAAATAAAAACAAAATACTATGGTATCTACAACTTCAAACGGAACAACAATTCGTATGTTGAGAGTCTTTAAACCTCTATTAGTGTATGGAATTGTGCTATTATTTTGTCTTAACAATATTTGGAAATTGTTGCCGCAAAGTTTGAAATCCCATGTGTATTGGACATTAAGATGGGAACACGACAACATGGTGATGATGCTACAGAGGAGACAAAACAAATGCACATCCAAAAATTCTGATAACCTCAAGCAAAATTAGAATTAGGCTTGGTGGGTTACAGGTAGGGTTTATTGTAACATCTAATCTTTGATTGTATTGGTTTTTAGAGAATAAGTTATTGTATATCGTGTTTAATAATTCGTGTATATCTAAAAATTGAAAACATGGACTTTGACATTCGCAGTCTATTTACAATGGTCAGGGATATCGAATTTATAAATTGTGCTCTACTTTTTAGCTTATTTAAAAATGTAGTCCTTTGGTAAATTGGCCTTTAGCTGTCTTCATATTCATATCTCAAATAAAATAATATTTATAGTTAAAATTCTAATTGTTTGGGAAAAGATGAAGAGATATCCCTTTCAACTTTTTAGTTCGCTCGGTAAACAATTTAAAAAAAAACCTTTTCTGTCCTTTCCTATGCTAAAGTAAAAACGAGTACATTTGAACCATCCACACTTTGTTTTTATAATCCACCTGTGGAATGGTTACATTTTATAACATTTATACCAAAATGTGTTTTCCACTGTATACTTTTCAATTATGGAAAACATGTATTTTAGCAATTCTACATGTGGAAGCTCTTCAACCTTTCATATCATCTATTCAATAGTCCAAAAGTGAAAATTTAACAGAATAATAATGTTATGCTATTATGCCCTTTAAATGTTCCACTGGTTTCGAATGTTTCATCTTCATTTAGTTTGATAATGAAACCTTAGTGTATTACTTCATCCCTCTATTTTAGGTGTACCAAGCCAACACAGGGAGATATATTTGCCATAAAAAGAAATAGGGCATGTCTTTAACATTAAAATGATTTAAAGAAGCACTGCGCCAGTATTTACATAATGTTTATGAACTTCGTACAGATATTATAGACCCCATTATAACAAAACTCCAAAAATGTGCTCATTTTCTCAAGGAGAAAAACACATTCCGATTTTATGGAAGTTCCTTATTGTTTGTTTATGAAGGACGTGTATCTCATCAGCAATGTCAAAACCCAAACGACTGTAAAATAGATATTTGAATGATTGACTTTAATAAAAGTACACATATAGATATACAGGAAGACTGTAGTACATAATATCCCTGATTCAGGATACCTGTTTGGTCTTAGGCATCTTATTGACTTGTTTACACAGATAAAAAAAGAAGGTTTAAAGTACGATAGAAATACGATGGAAATATAGTAACTTTTACACTATTGAAGTTAACCAATCCTCCATTCAGAGAAGGCAAAGAAGCCAGTCATTGGAAATTAAGACTACTTTTTTTTTGCTCTTACTCCTTATTGCTGGATGTTCAGCAGAAAAGCGGTAATTATCACTTTTTCAAGGCATTAACTGTTAAAATTTAATGAAGATTAATCTAATTGATTGATTTAGAAATGATTTTCATTTGAAGACTTTTTGTGAAAATGTATGGATTTTGGTAAAGGTGAAGGTAAGATTTTTGCACAAATTGACATTAAAATCAAATGTATTTTGAACTATTTCTTATTTGCAGTATTATATGTTGAATCTTTATACTTAAATAAATCATTACAGTTTTGTTTTAAAACATACTCATTTCATGGGTTATAAAGCCTTGGAATGACAGAAAAATTAAGCAAAATCGTGAATATATGACTTGCACATGCTTAGAAATACCATAGAGCACAACAATCACTCAAAAATTATTTAGAAAGTAGTTATATCTTGTATGTATATACTCACTGGCAGAAAATTGTCTTCGACAATTACTGTAAATTCAGAAATTATTGCTTGCATTTATTATTGCGATTTTTTAAGAATGGACAAAAATGCGAGATTAATTATTGCGATTTCAGGAAAATCTCCATACAGATGTATGTTTCAGATACCAAAATGTGAGTTCTTATTACTGTGATACTCACACAGTTGCATTATTCGCATTAATAAAAACCTTGCAATAATTTCTGATTTTACAGTATATTGATCAAGCCAAAATGCTTCTGTAATTAGCTTTATTTGCAAAATATCTGAAAAAATCTCTATTACGAACTAATTTTTATAATGTCACAGCCATCAAGACTTGTCAAATGTACACATTCTCTAAAAGCCTTTTTTCAGGCTTAAAAAAAAAAAGATTATCAATTACTATAATAAATATTTTTTTCCCGTGAATTTACAGGGACAATAAGCCCCAAAAATGTACATTGTCCTTTCAAAGTAATTTTCACAAAAATAAATAGAATGCTCTGCAGTGTGCAGCTTAATACGACCACAGATGTCGAACCCTGAACAGTTGGGCAAGTATGGACAATACATTCAAGCTTGATACAGCTCTGAATTTGGATTGTGATTAAGAATTTGACATAGCATAGGTTTCTGACACAGAAAGAATGTGGTCAAAGAACTGAATATTTTGAAATTGGACTTTTATAGGTTATTGTCCAATATCCAAAATCTAAATACAGAGTTAGATTCAGCATATCCATTTACACCAAGAATTTTATTACATCATTTATTAATGGAAAATATTAGCTAAGTTTTTAAAATTCTCCATAAAGGAATTTAATTTAGCTGGTAGGAAAAGCTTTTATCAAATTAATTCATAATTTTGTGGTGTTTGAATATTACTACAAGTGGGGTACAGATGGATGTATATGGTAATTGAGATTTATTTGCCATCAGGTAACGATTGAAGTTTTTAAACATATTGTGACTTTGATTAGGGGAAATGAAATGCAGAATAAAAGTATATCAAAGTTATAAGGATAACAGAATTATATTATAAATGAACTGAAGATTTTTTTTAGAAAAATAGGATAAAAATATGGGATAAAATTAGGGCATGAAATTGGGCATGCATTGGTAATTGTGGTTTATGGGATTGTAATTCTAAGTGGTTGGGATGTTATTTCAATTAAATTTGTGAATTTGTGGTTAGAACTGTTCTGAAAAGTGATATCAAAAGGTGACATTAATGGTGTGTGTTTTAAATCATCAAATAAGTATCATTAAATTGTGGTTTGAGATTTTTCCCTTTGAATAGAAATGTCAATATGGAGGAAATCGTGTTAAGTATATGTTGAAAATGTGTAGCACCCTAATTGTGACTCACTTGAAAACATGCCCCAAAATCAAAATTCTAAATAGATGGTAATATTAATAGAAAAACAAAGGATATGGGGTATCCATCCATGACACAAAGTCAGTACATGCACATCAAAAAAACACACAAAAAGCAAAGGAACAGTGCTTTTATTGCTGTTCTTCATCTGAAAGTCTTAAAATGTAAAAATGTAAAGGACATGCATAATATGAAATATATTCTTGTATTTTAAAAGTTGCAAACACCCTTTTTAGACATGTAAATTAAAGGTATAGATGAATCTATAATATTAGCAAGGTACTAACTGCTGATATTCAAACAGTATAAGATTATTACATAATGCATTTGTTTGGTAAAAAGGCTTATTGCAGGATGATAATTCTTTTAACTATTCTTTTATTTCAACCATACACATATATGTCATCAATACCGAAATGTCATGAATGTTTTATGGACAATAATGAATACAAATTTATATACAAATAAATAAAAAAAATCTTCTTCTCACAATAATTGCACATTAAAACTAACCATCATGCGTCATATAGACCATCGCATCCAGCAAACTGACCATGATACATATGGTCAGATAAGGGTTTTTTGCAGAATACACAGAAATGCAGAAAGCAGGGTATAGAAAAACAATGTTTGTAAACAATTTATTGCACATAAGTATACATATAAAATTATTACTTAAAAGTTGTCATTTTAAAATGAAAATATGAAAACGTAATTTTGACATTTTATAAGAATCAAAGAAAACTTTGTTTTCAATAATTTCAAACTATTCAATCTATAAACAAATAGTTTTTCATATGATAATCTTGTTTTCATCGAGCATTCATACAAAAAGTTGAAAGATAAGATTTTTATGTGGAATAGTTCTAATGGAAAAAGTAAATTTGAGTTATCCCCCTTCATATCAATAACATTTTTGTTTGTTTTTTCAATTGTTGATACAGAGGATGTTTCCTGCCCAGGCAGAATAGTTGTAAAAGACATTTTACTGTTTTCCTTATGTCAGAATACTATGATACATAAGAGCTTGAGAGACATTATGTGTTAAAATTTGCTTTATGGAAATGTAAACCTGATAAAATTTTCCTCGATAATAAAATGCTATGTGTCTGTGTATTATAATAATGGAGGTATCATATCATCATTGAACTTCCAAGAAAATCTCAAATCTTTAATCTTTAGTGAGTTTTAACAGATTGTTAAGTGTCATATATTGTTAAGCACATTCCTTTTAGGCTATTTAAAGAGTGGTATGGGTAAAATGAAAGAGACATTAATTTGGTATTAGATATAACCCTGCTATATAATTGGTCTAGAACAAGTGAAGTCATAAACTATACTGATTGTTTTAAATTAAGAGTTTCATATAACATTAATTACAAATGAAAGGAAAAAAATTATAATAATATTTGATATCACAAAATGTACATAATAACACATTACATAAAGGTATAATGTATTTTACTTAAAATCAATTTCATGTAAACATTTTGTTTCTTTCCACTTGAGTTGGAAATCAAGTGTATATCTTCACTCTTGTGTATGCCAGCATGTATAATTTGGTACGAGTAAATAATCCACATAATAATTCCCAATAAAAACATGAAATAAACAGTTAAACAGATCACAGACTTGTTTGATTATCATGAAATCTTTCCTGCATTCACTCCATTTGTAGATTGCTATTCTCATTGCCTCCCACATCCTGCTTCTCAAATCCTTGCATAGAGTGATACCTCTGTACAACCATAGGCCAGTCAACAACATCTTCTATTCTCTGGGGACCATGGTGACCAGTAACACGTAAAAACCCATCTGTAATAACAATATCTAAATTCTAAAACAACAATACAGTAAAAACTACTCATATTTCTTAAAGTTATTTCTTCCTTTATCTGCACATTATGCAAAATTAACATTTCTATAATCAAATTAAATAAACCTTGCTTACTCCTGGCTCATAAGTTTTTATTTACTCGTCTCAATTCAGGGTGATCCAAAGCTTGACATAAAGTTTACTACGGTACTAAGGTACTTAGGTACTTGTCCATCTTTGAGAACACCTAGATATCCATTTTTAGTCATTTGAAAATAAGATGTGGTATGATTGCTAATGAGACAACTCTCCATCAAAGACCAAATGACATAGAAGTTTACAACTATAGGTCACTGTACAGCTTTGAATTTTTGGGTTGTTTACTCATTTAGGGTAATCTTACACCTCTCTTATTCAGAATATAACTATTTTTTGTTTGGTAAAATATGTGTTTCTGCATTCTATTTATGAACTTATGATTTGGGTGTATGACCTGTAACATGTTACTAATAAAATGTCTTAACTATCAAAATTTAACTCAATGAACCTTAAAAATAAATCAAGGTCAGGTGGTCTATGTTGGACAGATATCTTACAATGAATGCTACTATAGACCAAATGTAACTGACCTATTATTTACAATAATTTAAAAACATAAAAAACTAATATGGATACCCATTATTATCCTTTTCTTGATTAGGATATTTCAGTTTCACACAGGAAACTCTATCTTTAAAATTTGAGGCAAAATAAACATTTTTCGTTCCCTATTATTAGTTTTTCCTTTTTTAACAGTGATGTTCATTTCTCCCCTTCTTCTTACAGTGTGAATATTTCCATCCTTTTTCGCTATGCCTGACACTGCAGTGAACCTAGTCTCTGTATAACTGGATAGTCATGTCCTTTATTGCATTTTTTATTGAAAAAAAAATGATTTGGTTTGGAAGTTTAAATGTTCCTATAGAAATCTGATTACAAAAGAAATATCACATCCTAATTTTGTCGATTTTGTTGTTTATAGAGCTGTTCAATTAAGCTATGGTTTGTCTCTCTTATTAAGTATAAACCATTCATCCATTTTGCAATCACACCAGCTTGATTGGCATACATATATATTTTGCTTCAACACATAAGTTATTAATTTCAGTGTACAAGTAACTAATTTTCATCCAGTATGTTATACATATATATATGCCTCAGCATAGAATGAATCATGCATATATGCTTTTGGTAGCTTTAAGTTTTATGCTTGACAATATTTTACCGTCCCATTGCACATTGTTTCTTACCTTCAGGGGCAACCTGTGTATTACGCCTGACAACATTTCTCAACCAACCAACAGAATTTTGGGCGAGAAGGTCAACAGATCGTGAATCAGACAAGGCATCATTGTCATCTTCATCATTTACATAGTCCTTCGCTTGCGCAGAACACAACTTTCCTATAAAAAAAAAATAACAAAAAATGATATTGTTTAAAACCAAGAGTATACTTAGTACAAGTATATAGCAAAAAGACCAAAAAATCCTTTCATTGAGTGTAAAATTCTGTAATAGCATTCAACATGTTGTGTGCTGTAATACTGTAAAAATAGTCAAAACTCTGTTTTTCACTGTATACTCTCTATCTGCTTTATTTTTCACTTAAAATGCAAAAAAAAGGGTTAAAATCATAATTGCAGGAACATTTTTGCAGTTTAATGTTTCTCTTTATTTAATACATTAATCAAGATTATAACCAAATCCATAAAAAAATGGGTACAATAAAATTGACATTCAAGGAAAATAACTTCTTTTAGAAGTCAGCTGCAATTTCTGCCATGTTGACTAATTTGCAGATCTTAACCTGCAGATCCTCTTTGCTTGAACAGCTTTTTTTCTATCTATTATAGTTTTGAAGATGGCAGCCAAATCACAAAAAAAAAGTAATAACTGTCATGTAAGGGCAATAACTCCTATAAAGAATTCTCTGACAATTTTGGTCAAAATCAGTAGTATACAATAGTATACTTAATAGAACATCTTGACATTTTGAACATTTCAGTCCCTACCAATTTTCTCAAATAATGGTTTTTGAGATAATAGATAAAACTTGCATTTCACCCCTATGTTAATATTTCATATTTAGACTTGAAAACATGACATCCCAAAAACAATTGTGACCAAGTTTGGTTGAATTTGGCCCAGAAGTTTTAGAGAAGATTTTTGTAAAAGATAACACTCCACAGAGACCATTTTTGTAAAAGATTACAAACAACAAAACAAATAACAGATTCCAAGTGATCAGAGTAGCTCACACTGAACCTTTGTGTAAAGTAATGTAAAAATGAAATAAGGATAATTTTTACCTTTGTATTTACATGCCATACGGCAATATGCAAAAATCTTGGTGAACAAATTTAATGGAGCTGGTGTTGCAGATGTCTTGTTCATGTTTCTGATTAGTTTGGCTCTTCCAAACTTCCATTCTGTATCAGACTGTTGCTGTATCCTCTGATACGTATCTGACATCATAGCAATTAACAGGTTTATAAGAACAATAAGTGTCACCATCATATATGTTCCAAATACAATTTTGGCCAGTGTGATCACCCATGCTGGATTACGATAAAGTGTTGGCAATGAATCTGGATCCACTAATCCAAATAATGAGAAAAATAACAGTTCAAATGCATCGATTGGCGTCAAGTATGTTACTGGTTCTCCATTACCTAACCCATTACCCAGGGATGGATCTGGATCTTTAGGAGCGTACACTGGTTGATATATTGCTGACAAATGTAATGTGAAACCTATCATAAATATCAGTAATATGACAAGAAATCTTGTTAAGTCTTTCAGCAAGTCTCTTATAATAATGGCCCACGGTCCAAATAAATGATGAAATGATAAGAAGTCCAGAAGCTGTACAAAACTCATTAATAATGCCCAAGCTAAGATTTGATTTCTTATGTATAATAATATTAGCCTTTCGTCATATGAAAATGCAAAAGCAATGACATGAAGGAATATTCCAATTGCACTAACAGCTATGGATATGACCTTAAGCCATCCAAGTCCTCCTCTATCACCTGGATTTGTTAGTTCTGACACCAGCAGACCTGATAACCATGCTAATAATAACCACTCGTACCAGTGTGGTATTAACGATGCTGATTGATATATTGGCGTCAATGGATACACTACTGTCAGTGAAAACAAGAACATTAAATACAAATGTGATACTAGGTATGCCATGAATTTGATTATAGGAATTTTGTTGTATCTTTGTCTTAATGGTAAAGATACTATTAACCACACTAAAGGTACAAACAAAAATACTAAAAATAACATCACAATTTTCCATGTCGTCCATTTCAAATTACCCATCCAAACATCGGATAAATATTTCTGAACTGATGGATGGGAAACTACTTCTTTCTGCTCATTTTCGATCAACACATCTAAAAATGGAGTTCCATGATTATCAACAGACTTTAGAATTTGTCCTGCACTGTTAGAACTAGCAGCTATTGCAGTCAACTCAGTAGCCATAAATTCACAGTAGTCCCCAGCAACCAGGAGGTCACGTGACCTCTCCTTTTCTTTGCTAGCTAGCAGACGGAAGCTACTTGACATTTTGGCAGCAGTGTCGACTGGAGCAGGTGAAAGCAGTATAAACTCTTCCAGACACTTGTTCTTTGTCAGTTTCCCACAGACCATTAGGTCAAATACAAACTAAAATAGAAATCAGTAATTCATACATCTGTTTAGTTCTTATATTCCAAGGATATCTGTCCTATAAGAAGAAAAGAGAGACTACAGTGGACGTCTCCAAGTTTGTTTGTGTAACCAAACTCTGATGCCAGTTTCCGGAATATAATTGCTTATGTTTATATTTTGACTTTGAAACAACTATATACTTTGTGCAAATATGTCTGATGAACTCAAAAAAACATTTCACATCTTTGATTTTACACTTTTTAAAAGCTTTTTGAGGAATTGCTAAAGCAATACACTGTTTGCTACTGGCCATAAGTATCTAAAGATGAGCATTCAATGTAATATTTTCAATGTGAAAATGGTGTATTCATGAAATATAAATCAATTAAAAGGAACTTGAACTATACTGTGACTTCTTATAACATGAAAACTTAATTCTGTCATATTTGTTTTTTGTTTATTGTCTTGTAATTAATCAGACCATTAATTTTTTTATCCTTTGAATTGTTTCACTTTGGTCAAATCTGAACCTTTTATAGCCAACTATACAATATTAGCTTTGCTCATTGTTGATGGCAACACAGTAACCTATAATTTCTAAAATACACTTCATTTGGACTCTGTTGGATAGTTGTCTCATTGGCAATCATACCACATCTTCTTACTTTAAATCACTAAAATGCTGTACTTATATATATCAAATATGCAATGGTTGTAAAAAAAAGACTTTGGGGGGTATAACCTGAAAACTAAAATGTAACATCACTTATAATAGACCACTGGACAGAATAACATATTAGTCTGTTTAAATTTGATTTTAAAAGGCTTATAAAAAAAATTTGTTGTACCTAATACAGTTATGATTCTATGACTTTCTTTTGCATTTTTTATTGTTTTTCTCTTTTGAGAAACAACTTGTTTTCAAAGTGAAATTATTCCAATCTATTCTTACAATTCTCTTGAATTATAGTTAATATAAACCATATCCTTTTATATTTTCAGGTCTTTAATTTGTGTGTGTTTTCTGTCCAGTATTTATGACTTTCAATAACCCACCTTTTTATCATCCATTAGATGCTGAGTGTTGTGATCTTTCCTCAACAGATAACTCAACACTTCAGAGTGGTTCATAGCTGCAGCATAACATATTGGCACTTTCCCATCCTTTGTTTCAAACTTTGGCGATGCTCCACTTTCAACAAGCAGTTTGACAACGTTTAGATATCCAGCTTTGGCAGAGAAATGTAGCGAAGTCCATCCATTCTTATCACAAGCATTTATATCTGCCCCTTGGCCAAGTAATAAAGCGACCATATCCAAATGACCATTGGCAGCAGCCAAATGTAAGGCAGTTCTTCCCCTCTTGTCCTTCAGTTGTAATTGGCTGGTTGACTTACTTAGCAACAAACTGACCACTGATGTATGTCCTCCTTGTGCTGCTAAGTGTAATGGAATAGCTCCCTGGAAAAAGAGTATAAATCAGATTCAGAAAAATTATTAAACAGTGTGCTCTTTCAATAGCAAGATTACATTTTGTCCTTGGATTGGAAATCTCTGAAATCAAGGACAGGAGGGGTTACAGACCCAAATGTTATCGAGCAATTTCCTAGCAAGAAAAAAGGTTATAGTGGTGAAATACTGATGCATGTATATCATCAAAAATTTTGGAGAAATGGACATCATAAATGTTAAGCTGAAACAAGGATCCTAAGCGTGAAATGCTGGTCATTGTGATCAAATTGTTACAAAAATGAATTGCATGGTTTAAGGAAAATGTACAATAAATCAGCATGGCTTTCTGAATGATCAACCTGAACATAAAAATTCAGTGACAATATGAATCCCCCTAACATTCAGATTATTTTTTTACCTGAGCATTGGTTGAAACATCAGCCTGTACTCCTGGTGAGTTGAGTAACAATCTGACTAATCCCTCGTGTCCCGACTGGGCAGCTAAATGTAATGGTGTCAAACCAGACTGTAAAATAAAATGCATGTTTATCAATTTTATATTGAAATATCTCATCAGGCATAATTTTCCTGTTTGATATTATTGCGAACCCAATGAAAGTTTTCCACAGTGTCATCTCTATCTTGACCAGGTATTTAAACTTTTGCAAGTTCACCTGTCCTATTGAATGAATACAATAGCTATTTTTCTCTGTGTAGTTTATTCACTGGGACCTTTAAATTTCTTCTAAGAGAAATCTATCACTCATTGATTAATTTACCTGAACAAAAAATTTAACTCTCAATGATAAAAATACATGTACCAATACTAAATAAGGACACACAAAACTATATGTGATGTTGATTTATTCAATATCTAATAATTTAGTAGGCTTCTAGAATGTATTAGGGTAAGTTGTCTGCATTGGCTATTTGCAATATTAGCCATAATAAACTGATTTACTTTATTTGCATTATTTACCAATTTTTACTGAATTGTCTACAGCTTTTCATAATTTTGTTCCAATGTTTTGACATTAAATTTTGCTATGTCCCTATGGAAATTTGTGACTTTCAAATTATTTTTTTGTGTTGGACCAAAAAAACTATGAAAGTGACAATGCTAATATTTACTCTTATTATCCATTTAGACTGTACTTCAATGTACATTTATTCTAATCAAGCTTAATGGTTTGTGAAAAAATGTCAAAATAAATAATCCTCTCAGACATAGATTTATAGAAATAAAAGGGATAAGTTAACAAGAATAACTATCTGTGAAAATAAGTTGGTTTACAGTATTTTATTAAATGTATTCTATAACTAGACAAAAAAAAATCAAATTTCAATGGGAACATTGATAAAACTTTTGTTTGAAATCAACTTTTTATGATTGAATCAATGTTTATATTAAACTGAATGAAAATATATTATTAATATTGAATAAATACATCATCACATGCAGTTAATGAGTATAAAAAAAGTATTTTTGGTCTATATATAAGAAATTTTTTTTACTCAGGTAAATTAATCAATGAGTGATAGATTTCTCTTAGAAGAAATTTAAAGGTCCCAGTGAATTAACTACACAGAGAAAAATAGCTATTGTATTCATTCAATAGGACAGGTGAACTTGCAAAAGTTTAAATACCTGGTCAAGATAGAGATGGCACTGTGGAAAACTTTCATTGGGTTCGCAATAAAGTTTGTGAATAAAACATAAATGTATTTAACTCTTGGTTGTCTAAATAATCTGTCAGTGATTGTTTCAAATACTAAAAAAACATTAATCAAAACTTTAAATTACAGCCTTGGAAGCTTTCAACATATATATGTGCAACTGCTGACAAAAAAATATATACATATATAGGTTTGAATTATAAAACTGTAATTCCCATGCACATTATAATACAAATATAAAACACTATAGTCAGATGAGTGAGATTATATGTTGTATAGCATTTTATCCTTCTGTAGAGATTTGTCAATGCAAATGTATTCTCTTTCTTATCAATGATAATTCTAGAATTAATCTAAATAGACATGTTATAAAGGGTTTGATGTTATTAAGAGTTTCTGCTGTAGAGTATGATTCAGGTATGTGATATAAGTTGAAATGTAGCATACTGTGGATTCATTTATTTTTGGCGGGTACTAATTTTCGTTGATTGCGTAAAACTGGCATTTTCATGGATATTTGATTTCGTGGTTAAAACATTGTCTGCATACATTCCTATTAAAAAAATTAAATTCGTTGAACATTTAAATTTGTGGTTCCCCTGTACCAATGAAATCCATGGAAATAGGTATCCATGGATAATGAATATTCACCGCAGTAGTATCAAACTAATGAAACCAAAGTATTTAATGAATATTCACCGCAGTAGTATCAAACTAATGAAACCAAAGTATTTAATGAATATTCACTGCAGTAGTATCAAACTAATGAAACCAAAGTATTTAATGAATATTCACTGCAGTAGTATCAAACTAATGAAACCAAAGTATTTAATGAATATTCACTGCAGTAGTATCAAACTAATGAAACCAAAGTATTTAATGAATATTCACTGCAGTAGTATCAAACTAATGAAACCAAAGTATTTAATGAATATTCACTGCAGTAGTATCAAACTAATGAAACCAAAGTATTTAATGAATATTCACTGCAGTAGTATCAAACTAATGAAACCAAAGTATTTAATGAATATTCACTGCAGTAGTATCAAACTAATGAAACCAAAGTATTTAATGAATATTCACTGCAGTAGTATCAAACTAATGCAACCAAAGTATTTAATGAATATTCACTGCAGTAGTATCAAACTAATGAAACCAAAGTATTTAATGAATATTCACTGCAGTAGTATCAAACTAATGCAACATAATATTGTGCTTTGGACATCTTTACCTATATGATGGTAACTATCAAATACGGATTTATTTTTTTTTTTATATTTATTTCTGGACATCAAATAAAGCATTATTTAAATATTATAAGGATATAATACTTTTACCTAAAATGTGTATATATATGCTGCTGTATTTAGCCTATTAGACACAGAACTACAAACACAAAAAGCAGTTAACACGTGAAATGCAGAACTATGCACAACATTTTATAAACATCTACATTAACAAATATGAGAAGCAAATTACTCTATATTGTGTTATTCTATATAAGGTAAATAATTAGGTATTAGTTATTAAGTTAAATGTTGTGAAATTAAAAAAATATGTGACCTGTACCTTACCTGTATACTATTTAACCATCTTAAAGCAAACTTTTTCTGAAACAGATTACTAGGTAGGTAAAAGTAGTCAGACAGAATAGAAATGCTAGACTAAAAGTAAGATTATAGTATTACTAAGGTAGTCAAGTTGAAAGTAGAAAAATGAAGCAATTTCAAAGGCATTGATCCATCAATTTTTTTCTTCTAATTTACAGATATTTGAACATAAACTAGACACACAACAAAATTGGGAAACATAAAACAAATTTTACCTGACCATAGAGCTGCAAATCATATTTTAGATGAAAGAATTAAAAGAATATCAAGTCTGCATAAATAGAAACCAATATTCTACTTAATGATATACCTTACATGTTGAATTATCTACCAATTATTCTGAACTATTTTAAGCCCATCCCAACTAAAACTGAACCAACCAGTATGCTGGTGATGTATCAAAAAGAGTTATCTCCCCTTGCATTGGAACAATTTTATATTGTAAAGCATGTTAACTACATGTATTTACCCTCAAAATAACATAAAAAAATTTCTAAATGAGCTTTTTTACATGATAATATGCAACACTTCTAATTAACACAACAATACAGACAGGTGTATGTGCTCGTTCCTGAGGTGTTCCGAAAATCTATTTTTATAAGGGTAATTTCTGGATTCTTCATAGGAAATGTACGGAAAAAGAAAAAATGTAAGAAGTCTAGGTGAGGTATTATGAACTACAAAATATTCTGCCAAATGCATATTTTAAAACAGTGAATAGAAATGTAGGTGTTGTTTGGCAAAATATTTCAATCTGTTACTGAAAGAAGTTTCAGGATAATGAAATACTGGTGAAAAATTTGAGAATGTGATCAGCAAAACATCATTACAAACCATTCCACAGAATCAACAACAATACATCAATATTAGTACAGAGAAAACATCATTACAAACCAGTCCACAGAATCAACAACAATACAGTATCAATATTAGTAAAGAGAAAGATTCAGTTACAAAAGTATTTGAAAATTAGCATTTTTTGCACTTGATATAATTTACTTTCATATAAAAAAAATTTTATTGCTAAAATCAAAGAAAGTTTCAAAGAAATTTTGACAAAAACTTCATCAAATGGAATTGGACAAAATTTCTTGTAAATTATACTTTGTATAAATATTAATTTCATAGTTTTGCTAATAATTATGATTAACATTTCAATACAACAATACATTTACAAACTGAAAGAGGATTCACATCATTTCCAAATACTTCTTCACCTATCATAACACATCTATGATTTCTATACAACTCAATAACAATATCAGAATACATTCTGATTCAAAAGAAGAATAATAAGATCTTATGATCTAAAAGTAATTGGTGTTTTATCTGGCTTACCTCAGAACCAAAGTCTTTAAAACCTGAATCTCCCCCAACTGGAGGCTCACTTTTAACTGTAGCAGGAACTTTTGTCAACATTTCCCTGACAAAATCTACCTGTCCAAAGTGGGCAGCTACATGTAGTCCTGACAATCCAGTCTGAAAAGAAACAGTTCTTTGTATTAGACCAGCCATCCATTATAGTTAAAAGGTGACAAAATTAAGGTTATTGATTAGGATAAGAAATATATAGTTTGGTAAAACTTTGTAAAAACAAGAATGCAGATGTTGTAGCGTTAAGCATAACCCCACTTGAAATTCAAAGTATTGGAAAACAGGAAGTTGGTGTCTGACAGATCTGAAAATTGCTCACACTTTAAACTCAACACTGTTGAGCAGCTGACTAAATATAAACTTATTCTGTTTCTGCTAAAAATGCAAGGAAATAATTTTTTGGAGGAACAAACTGACAGACAAGGTGATTACAATAAAGCCCCCACGTATAAAATGGGGGTATAATATAATAATGTAGATAAAGTTACTTTTGAAACATTTTATGTAAAATGAATTTTCATTTCTTTCCATTTCTCACCTTTCATTGATATATTTGTTTATCTGTATACATGATATAAGTTTCTACTAACAACTTTAAATCAGAATGTGTAATTTATTTAACCTTTTTACTAGTTATCCTCCATGATACATGTCCTTTCAAAGCTTCCAATATGTTAGTGTGACCATGTTTAGCTGATAAATGGATTGCTGTCATTCCATCCTTGAAATAAAAAGTAAAATTATCATTCATCTCAGCAGTTATCACCAGAAAGTTATAAATTTCAAATAATTATGACAGTGACATTGAAAGTTTGAGTTTATAAGATACACTATATCAATTCTGCTATTCTAATACAAATACAACAATTTCATGAACTGTACCATATTAAGTTGAAGTATATCAGAGTAGGTAATAGACAAGGCTCACTAAAAACATTGAAAACTGTAGCTACTTCAAATTCAGTAAAGAATGCCAATGAAGTCAGTTAAAATGAAATATATAGAAGTTAAAGCCACAGTTTAAAAAAACTTATTACCTATAATAAGAAATTCTTCATCAATTCAAATAGATGTTTAATTAGAAAACATAGTATTTGAACAATGTAAAAATTTGAAGTGATTGAAGCATGTTCAAGAGAGACAGGACATCCTATATTGCCTGAAACAGAAATGCCTCCCATGAAGTTTATCATAGGCAAGACAAAATGACTAATTTCACTGTATGTTTGTAATAATAAACACAATTCAAGTCTGTACAAGAAATAATCTACTCACAGCATTTTCATCAACAGCGGAAGCCCCAGCCTCTAATAGCACCTGTACGACCTCTTTATGACCTCCGGCTGCTGCAAGGTGCAAAGCTGTAGAATCATTGGTCTGAAAAATATATTTGTATCATTCTAATCATCAGGACAAGTAGTGTAATAAAAACAAGATATTTCACATAATATCTTGCAAATTTCAGTAACCCTCACTTGTTATTGGTTATATTAATTCCATACTCAGTCGGTATAATAAATAAACTGTTAACACAGGGATATGTCTCGCCTTTTTGTAATTTTGATAATGCAAATGTTGAAATTAAAATAGCAATACATTAACATGTAAGTTATGCAAATATTCAAAGCCAATGAACCATGACAGAAAGTACATGGGTAAACAATCTCCATGGAAATGAGATGTACCAATGCTAATATAACTGCATACCAAAGACCATTAACTTATCATAAGTCGTTCCCTTTAAACAAACCTAAACACAAACATTAACTTGTAAACTATGTAATAGTTTCAAAGTCAATGAACCATGATGAGGGGTCGGGGCTATATAATCTCAATGGAAATGAGACTTGCAAATGCCAATAAATTTGCATACCAAATATCATTGACTTAACATTAGCGGTTCATCTTAAACTGATCTAATCACACACTAATATATGTAATCTAAGCAAGAGTTTCAAAGTCAATAGACCATGACTGAGGGGGCGGGGCAAAATAATCTCCATGGAAATGAGATGTGTTAATGCTTATACAACTGCCTACCAAATATCATTGACCTAGCACTTATGGTTCCCCTTGAACTGACCTTATCACAAACTAATACATGTAAACTAAGCAAAAGATTCAAAGTCAATAGACCATGACTGAGGGGGACGAGCAAAATAATCTCCATGAAAATGAGATATGCCAATGCTTATATAACTGCATACCAAATATCAATGACCTACCACTCATAGTTCCCCATAAACTGACCTAATCACAAACTAAATAAATGAAAACTAAGCAAAAGTTTCAAAGTCAAAAGACCATGACTGAGGGGGCGGGACAAAATTATCTGCATGGAAATGAGATATGCCAATGATTATACAACTGCATAACAAATATCATTAACTTACCACTAGTGGTTCCCCATAAACTGACCTAATCACAAACTAATACATGTAAACTAAGCAAAGTTTCAAAGTCAATAGACCATAACTGAGGGGGCGGGCCAAATAATATCCATGGTAATGAGATGTGCCAATGCTAATACAACTGCATACCAAATATCATTGACCTACCACTAGTGGTTCACCATAAACTAGACCTAATCACAAACTAATACGGAAACAGCATACCTATGTCTCGCTTTTTGACTCCCTTAATGCGAGACAAAAATCACAACATATTAAAAATAGGATTTGACTGTCTGACAGATTTGAAAAGTCTTTATAATATGCAACTTGTCAATTTAATGTTCAAGACTAAATTTCATACTACAGAAGTTGAGTAAAGTGTAATGAAACATTCTAAGTATTGTCATCCAGGAAGTGTCTGCCTGGCAGATCTGAAAATTTATTTTTTAAACTGGGTTATCTAATTTTTGCTGTAGTAACACCTCCTTCATATTGAACCATATCTCAAATCATTATTACACTAACTCTATTTCTAGCTGTAGTGACAACTCCTTTGTTGAACCTCATTAGCTCCTTGACAACAGCAACACTTCCTTTAGCAGCAGCAATGTGGGCACATGTCATACCATTCTATAAATAGAATATAAAAATCTTGATAAAGCTTTGTTTGTGGTGATGCAACATGAAGAAATCATCAATCATAAAACTGTATCTTTATCTATGAAAATAATAAAACATATACTGTGGATTCATTTATTTTCGTGGGTACAGTTTCATGGATTGAGGAAAACTTGCATTTTTGTGGCTATTAATTTCTTTGTTTCGGCAAAGTCTGCATACATTCCTTTAGAAAACTTCTAATTCGTTGAACATTTAAATTTGTGGTTCACCTGTACCCACGAAATCCTTGAAACTTGGTATCCAACGAATATTGATAAATCCCCAGTAAGTCAATTAGAGAGAATATATTAATGAGGATCTCAACTTTAAAAAAGGTTGTCTAAGTGTTTATATGAACAGTTATGTTTATTGTTTTCAAATATTTTGTACAATTAGATTTGGGATATTTGATGTTGAAAAAATACAATTAACCATGGATAAAAAAATTAATAAAAAATAAACCATGGTGTCATGCGCCTATGAAACTGCCTTCACCAGTAGTATTTTTTCTTTAGGAAATCTTAGTTTTACCAATCCTAGCATCATGGAATGTTGATAGAAAACTTAAAGTTATTGTTTGAAATCTAAAAATATGCTTGCTTTGTTCTTAAGCAAAGTAACATAACTATTGACAATTTCTCATTTGAATTGTTTTACCTTTTAAAGCTTACAATGAGGTATGGGTTTTGCTCGTTGTTGAAGGCCGTATGGTGACCTATAGTTATCAACTTCTTTGTCATTTGGTCTCTGGTGGAGAGTTGTCTCATTGGCAATCATACCATTATTATACCTGCTTATTTTTATATTGACTAAACATTCCATTCCAAAAGAGTCCAAAATTGTAATTTTTATTCAAAAGTAGTCCACAATGCTAGAATGGTAAAAAAATCAATTTCTCAAGATAAAAAAATGACTCTCTATCAGTGATAGTGAAAATAAACAACATTTAAAGGGTCATCACTCCTCGTAAGATTTGGTGAAAATTTGATGAGATTATGTTCCATTGAACTTGACAATTTGTGCAAAGATCCAAATGTAGGCCTACAGATTATTATAGTCAAATATAAAATACATTAGCATCTTGACTGTAATATGACAAAAGGTTAATGTGTTTTATTAATTAAAAACAAAAGGTTAATGTGTTTTATTAATTAAAAATCATTCAGCATAAAATGTATTTCCATCTTTTTTCAGGACTGCTATTAAAAAGTCCCACACAACAAATGGATCATTGAAATACTGAATTGCAGCTTTGTTACTAGCTGTTATACACATTATATGTTCTAATCAATTTCTACCTATTAAGTTACCAAAACATTAAAAAAAAGTATTAAACTTTCATTACTCTTGATAGATAAAACACTGATCAAAGTATTGTTGAACACTATTTCAGAATGATATTTGGCATAATTGTGTACTATTACTCCGTCCACAACCTTTTTAAGGAAATAGTAAATTATATCATAGGCAAGATATCTATAAACCAATCATTTTAGCAATAATCTCAAAATTCTACCTAGAACTGATGGAGGAGATGGGAAATACACATATTAAAGGAGGTTGACAACTGGATAGGAATATAATGACACATGCATCCATACAACATTCAGTTTGGCTGTCTTGGGTTTGAATAATTATTTTCAGCAAATCCCCAGATTTAAACACTACATGCAATTATCACACTGTATTACAGGTTTTGCTGAATTGCAAATAAATTCCATTAAAGAATTCCTTGCATTTCGAGTGCACACTATTCTTTAGTGCAACTTGAAATATCTTTTATTGAACATGCAGAAAATTCAATAATTAAAGAAATCAATACAATACAAGGTACAATGGAAATATTAAAACATCAATTTGTGTGACAAAATACTTACTTCATCCTAGAATAAAAATAATATTCAATGTCAAAATTTCTCTCTACTTAACAAAACTTATCATTCTAAAATGAATCTGTTATAGATATAATAAAACAAATATTTCTTTCTAAAATGAATCTTATTTATATTTAAACAAAACTTATCATTCTAAAATGAATCTGTTATATAGTAAAACAAAACTTATCATTCTAAAATGAATATTATGTGTAGTACAATGTCATGAAAGTTTTTTAATGATCATAAAAAGTAATTAATTAGGTATATTATGTCACAATATATCAAGTTTCTGGTATAAATCATTGGCACACTAATTAAAATAGCTTTCAAAGACTGAATTGATCTTACAGGTCTCCATTATGTTTAATTTCGTAACAAAAATTGATTGAACTGCAAAGTGAAATTTACACTTCATTAGCATTGACTTTCATTGCAACATGCTTCAATGATATACTACTGGGATGAGCAAATATTGCTTCCATGTTTAGGAATAGTAGATTACTTTTTCTGTTAAAAATTGTAATAAAAACTTTTCCATTTTCCCTCTTCAAAGCAGTTTAAAAAAAAACATTTTTAAGAAAATTGTAATGAATCAAATTTTATCTATGCATTGCCTTTAAATTACCAAATATAGTAAATTGATTTATTCTACATATAGAACTTACTGTGTTAGCCATTGTTACTAATTCTGGTCTGTACTTTAGGAACAACTTTACTACATCAGAATGATCATTCTCAGCAGCCAAATGTAGAGGAGTCTGACCATGCTTAAAGCAAATATAACAAAATGTCAGTGGGATATATTAAGCACAATCAAGTATGACAAAAATATTTACATGAAAGGTGTTGTTTATATAGACAAACATTGTGGTAAATTATTCAGCTTCAACTTGCCTGTACTCTTTATTTGTTGGTCACAATCTGGAAATTGACCAAAAGCTATGATTTTTTTGTGAAAACCCATAGGTGAGCCTTTTCCCTGACTTCCAACTGCAATTCATTGATGGAAAACTATTTTTTTATTTTTGAATTACCTCAACATTAAAACAGACATCAATGATCAAATCAAAAGTACAAATTTCAGTTAAATATTAGGCCAAATAAGGTCCTTTTTGCAAAATAGAATCAAATTTTTTGAAATCAAATTGTTACAAATAACATCTGGGCAAATATGTTTCCAACAATATATTCTAGGTACCTTTCTCACAAAATATATATTTCCTAGGTGCTTTTCAAATCTCTTCCCAATAAGCACAAACATAATGGCAATATTTATGTCAGTAAAATCAGTCAACTCAACATTCAAAAAGAAGTGGGCCATCTATTCAGAATGTCAATTGACACATCTGATGATAAATTGGAGAGCTTACCACATCAGTAGCATTAGCATCAGCTTTCATATTCAGCAATGTACTACAAACTTCCATCTGACCACTTTGGGCTGCCATATGTAATGGAGTTCTTTTAGCCTGCAATTGATGTAGAAAGAAATATAATAAGCTGTGTAGGGGAAAATATTGCATCAATAATAACCCTATGATCATGATGATATAAATAGTAGCTGAATGTGGCTCTATCAATAATTGAGGCTTAAGAGATAACTGTATTGTATTTGAAGGTTTGCAGACGTCCATCGGTAGTTTTATTGTTGCAGATTGAGTTCACCAGGTAAACATATATTTGCAGCATTTAAACTGCCAATGAACTTCTCCAAAGCTTCAAATACAATTACAATACAATTATCTCTATTTTAATGCCAAAAAAAAAAATCATTCAATTTTAGTCATTATTTCTATGAAAAACATTTATCAAACTAAAATTCTGCAAAATGATGTTATCTTTTTTGGCAACTAAACTAGGAGACGTCATAGGTCTACTTCCAGTGTCAAACGTAAACACAGGGCATTTTCTGGCTTCTTGTCTGCCTCAGAATGTAATAAAATTTGATAGAAAGAAGATTTCTAGGTGCAAATGTGAGTTTTTTTGCTTTTTATAGGAGAAATTACATATCAATACATTCTGGAATTCAAAATGTCGGCTTCCCTTAGTTACAGACAGGATGAAAGAGAATTTTACCCTAATTGTCATCCAATCAGAACCTTTGATACAAAATAATTGCTTTAGAATTACCAATGACAAGGCATAAATAGTGTTCTGAAGCAGTGATCTGGAAGGATTTTTTCTCTATGGGCCCAGGGCCCCCCAAAAATAAATTCAATGAGCCATTTTTAGAATTAATGGGCCATGTTGTCAAATGAGTGGGCCATTCGTTTACAATAAAAAAAATAAATAAAAAAAGTGTATATTTCACTGTACTTACAAGTATGATTCTAATTAATATCATGGATATTGTTCCTGTGATTTTGTAATTTCAATTTCAATGAATATACAATAACTTCTTCCAAACCGGACAATATTTACGATAACCTTTATTTACATTGTTAAAACTTGTACTGTTCCCTTGTTCATGTTCATGGTTTTTTTTACATTAAATTTGGGTCTTCGTCGATACCATACTTATTCCAGACGTTCCGTATTAGAGGACGTTTCTGACATTTCCTCTGCACTTGTATTATTATTACTTCATCACGATGACAAGAATAACAGTAGAGAGCAACGTTAATTGATAAGGCACAACAACAATTCGCTGAAGGCATGTTTACAAAATGTCAAAACGAGCCAAAGACCAAAAAAATTGACAAGGACAGTTAAGCCCCTTTTATGGAGACAAATACTATGCTATTCACAAAAAGGCTTTTGGATTTTTCAATCGAAATAATAGCAAGCTTACTTAAAAGATTATAATTAGGTACTAGCCAATTTTCACAAATTTAAAGTTGTTTATAAAAAAATTATATCATGAATGATGGTTAATTACGTTTTTTGGGTTATCAGTCATACCGCATGTTGCTAATATTACCATAGGAAAACACCCGAGACGTCCCAAAAATATATAGGTGCTCCTATCATTGGAGTAAACACTACACAGTTGTGTACTCACACATGGCGGCACGAAATACGATCAGAAATCCATTTGACGATATCTCAACGTTTCAAAACGAAGTGAAAAATATCATGCGCCACGCGGGCGCTTACATTTGTCACTCTATGCGCCATTTCTGGTCGATAAGCGCAATTGGCGCAAGGCGCACGTCCTTCCCGATCACTGCTGAAGTGTCTGTAACAGCAGCTGATATGCATAAAAGGATGTGTGAGGTACACACCAATGTGACAGCACTCCAATGAAACAAATAACAAAAAGACATTTAAAGGGCAATTATGTTTATAATTGTAGGTCTCAATAGCAGTTTTGACTTACCAATGACAAGGCATCAATAGTTGGCCCATGTGTCTCAATCATTATTTATGACTTACCAATGACAAGGCATCAATAGTTGTCCCATGTGTCTCTATCAGTAGTTATGACTTATCAAGGACAAGGCATCAATAGTTGTCCCATGTGTCTCTATCAGTAGTTATGACTTACCAATGAAAGGCTCAATAATTGCCCCATGTGTCTCTATCAGTAGTTATGACTTATCAAGGACAAGGCATCAACAGATGTCCCATGTGTCTCTATCAATAGTCATGACTTACCAATGACAAGGCTCAATAGTTGCCCCATGTGTCTCTATCAGTAGTTAAGACTTATCAAGGACAAGATATCAATAGTTGTCCCATGTGTCTCTATCAGTAATTATGACTTACCAAGGACATGTCATCAATAGTTGTCCCATGTGTCTCTATCAGCAGTTATGACTTACCAATGAAAAGACATCAATAGTTGTCCCATGTGTCTCTATCAGTAGTTATGACTTACCAATGACATGGCAGCAATAGTTGTCCCGTATGTCTCTATCAGTATTTATGACTTACCAAGGACAAGACATCAATAGTTGTCCTATGTGTCTCTATCAGTAGTTATGACTTACCAAAGACATGGCATCAATAGTTGCTCCATATGTCTCTATCAGTAGTTATGACTTACCAAAGACATGGCATCAATAGTTGTGCCATGTGTCTCTATCAGTAGTTATGACTTTAATACCAAGGACAAGACATCAATAGTTGTCCCATTTGACTCTATCAGCAGTTATGACTTACCAATGACAAAGCATCAATAGTTGTCCCATGTGTCTCTATCAGCACTTATGATTTACCAAGGACAAGGCATCAATAGTTGCTCCATCAGCAGTTATGACTTACCAAGGACAAGGCATCAATAGTTGTCCCATGTGTCTCTATTAGTAGTTATGACATACCAATGACAGGGCATCAGTAGTTGCCCCATGTCCCTCTATCAGTAGTTATGACTTACCAAGGACAATGCATCAATTGTTGCCCCATGTGTCTCTATCAGCAGTTTAACCAGTTTGTTGTAACCATTCTGAGCAGCCAAATGAAGAGGTGTTACTCCCTGTTTTGACTTGGCATTGACAAAAGCTTTGTGCCACAACAGAACATCAGCCACTTGGTCATGGCCACTCTCCGCTGCTAAATGTAAAGCAGCTTTACCATGATTCTAGAAACAGAAATGTGAGTTTGTTTTTCAATAGAATTTTTAATAGATATTTGTCATAGGATAATCAAGTGTAGTTCTTTAATTAACAACTTTACACACATATAGAATATGATAGCTTAATGTAAATGAAAAATTTTAAGCCCAGATAATTAAACTACATTGTCCTTTGGATTGAAATAATGTACAGGTAATTCATGATATCATTTTTCTTACAAAACAATTTGGTAGCTGTCTCATTGATATATACCCCAAACATTCTTTTATCTTATACCAAAAGACTTCTAAAACCTACCTCATCAAAAACATCAACTCTGGCATGGTGCTGTAGAAGGATCTTTACAATACTGATATGACCCTGCTCACTCGCTACTAACAATGGAGACCAACCATTCTGAAACAAAATGTGTATACTCATCATTTATTAAAAACTCAAGTACAAGTCAACTTGTAATTCAAGCTTGAAATATTGAATATAAGAGAGCATTTGCACAAAACATGGAATAAAATGTTAAATAAACAGTGTGAACAGAGACGTCACTATTTTATGATAAACTTTGTACTATGAAGTTAGGACTTATGAAAAGGAAGATAAAATGATTTACGGATGCAAGAATATTTAACCAGGACATATGCCCATATGCCAATGTTAATATTAATTTTTCTTGGGTAGTTAAACCTTTTATACATCAATTTATGTCTTTATTTGATTCGTAATATGACATATTTTCCAATTTTGTATTAACACTTAAAAATAGGCCAAACTCACAATGATTCAGCAAGTTCAGCAGCCAGCCAAATAATGGGGTATTATATTCTCTAAGTGTTACATCACTAATAAGTACCTTTCTATTAGATATTGTTACTAAGGACCCTAGTTTAACAAAAACGTCATTACGTATATACAAAAAGACTATGTAATCTTTATTTGTTTTAATGTAATGGAAGTTTTGCTGCCTAAAATTGAGAAGAGTCATATAGATAATATGTTTACTTACCTTAGACTGTTTATTAACAGCCTTCTGTACACCTAGAGCACCAATATGTTTGACAATCTCTAACAGTATGTCCCCATTACCAGCCCTGGCACAATAGTGTAAGGGAGTTTCAAATGTCTACAAAGATAAAAATATTAATTGAAGAAATCTGTAAATCATTGCTTTAATTTCACCAAACCTTTGATGTCAACATAATTTTTATTGATAGAATAATTAAACTGTTATCACAGAGATATGTCTCGCCTTTTTGTAATATTGATTATGCAAATGTTGTAATTAAAATAGCAATACTTTAACATGTTGGTGGCCTTCGGCTGTTGTCTGCTTTATGGTCGGGTTGTTGTCTCCTTGACACATTCCCCATTTCCATTCCCAATTTTATGTTAAAAAGTTATGCAAATATTCAAAGTTAATGAACCATGAATAAGGTACATGGCTATACAATCTCCATGTAAATGAGATGTGTCAATGCTAATACAACTGCATACCAAATACCATTAACTTATTATAAGATGTTCCCTTTAAACATACCTAAACACAAACATTAACTTGTAAACTATGTAAAAGTTTTAAAGTCAATGAACCATGAAGAGGGGGTGGGGCTATATATTCTCCATGGAAACAATACTTGCAAATGCCAATACATCTGTATACCAAATATCATTGACTTAACATAAGTGGTTCATCTTAAACTAATCTAATCACAAACTAATACATGTAAACAGGGGTTAAGAAATCCACTAGCCCGACGCCCGGGACTAGAGCATTTACACCTCGGGCAATCAAAACTTGTAACCAAATATGCCCGACGGACTAGTAACAGAAAATTCTTGGCGTTTCCAAAACACAAAGTGGAAAATCCCTTCATCTCTGTTCTAACTTAGCCAATCAAATGCAATTACGTCATGCGGGATTCCAAGAATTTGAACTAATTTTGTATGTTTTAAAAATAGAACAAATGACCGGTATCATGTATTGATTGCAATTCCTGTACTATCATTATCGATTTCTCAGTACTTAGCATATTAGCCTTTTAGAAATACATTTAAAGAGTTTAAGGCAGATTTTAGTTCACTAGTTTTTAACATTTCGTATGTGGACTGTCAATTTAACAGTTTACGTCAGAACATCAAAATTATATCAAAAGTCTTCTGAAGTTTAGTATGGTTTTAATGTAAATTATTCAGGCATTGTGATGATGCCAAAATTTTAAAAATGATTGCCTTTTTGACTATTAAAGTCTTACAGATTGAAATTTTAATCAGAAGAAAATATCGAGCTGACTCAAACATTTGTTGGAAGTTCGGGCTATCAGGTTTGATTTCCTGGGCTAGCAGTTCTATCAACAGGACTAGTAAATCCTGCTACCAATAAGTCCCTGGCTAGTGAGCTGTAACAAAATTTTTTAACCCCTGGTAAACTAAGCAAGTTTCAAAGTCAAAACAATGACTGAGGGGCGGGGCCAAATATTCTCCATGGAAATTAGATGTGCTAATGCTTATTCAATTGCATACCAATTATCATTGGCCTACCACTAATGGTTCCCCTTGAACTGACCTAATCACAAACTAATACGTGTTAACTAAGCAAAATTTTCAAAGTCAATAGACCATGACTAAGGGGCGGAGCCAAATAATCTCCATGGAAATGAGATATGCCAATCCTTATACAACTGCATACCAAATATCATTGATCTACCACTAGTTGTTCCCCATAAACTGACCTAATCACAAACTAATACAAGTAAAAATAAGCAAAAGTTTCAAAGTCAATAGACCTTAACTGAGGGGACAGGGCCAAATAATTTCCATGGAAAAGAGATGTGCCAAAGCTAATACAACTGCATACCAAATATGATTGACCTACCAATTGTGGTTCACCATAAACTAGACCTAATCACAAACTAATACATTGTTGACGATGCTGCTGTCGCCGATGCCAGAAACAGCATACCTGTCTCGCTTTTTGACTGAGTCAAGACGAGACAAAAACAGTATATATGACTGATAAAATCTGGTAAAAATAGTATTGTCCTACAAATCCATATTTCTTCCGCAGGTTCTTGATTTCCGAAGATATTTGGTAAATGTAAAATATTCAAGAATCTTGATTACCGTGTGTATGTTTGTGTCTCCATCACACTCCAGTAATAATTTGATTTAGAGATAAGACATTGGAGAAATGTAAGATATTTTAGAAGTGTGATTACCAATTTGGTGCATATGCTTGTGTCTCCATCACACTCCAGTAATAGTTTGATTTAGAGATAAGACATTGGGGAAATGTCAGATATTTTAGAAGTGTGATTACCAATTTAGTGTGTAAGCTTGTGTCTCCATCATACTCCAGTAATAGTTTGATTTAGAGATAAGACATTGGGGAAATGTAAGATATTTTAGAAGTGTGATTACCAGTTTAGTGTGTAAGCTTGTGTCTCCATCATACTCCAGTAATAACTTGATCATATCTGTATCTTCCATATCCTCATGTGCCATATTCTTTGTCAACTCTGCTGCATAATGTACTGTGGTTTCCCCTTCCTAAAAATAGAAAATGAGAAAGCTTTAATAAATTTGATGCATAATGTACTGAGGTTTCCCTTCCAAAAATTGGAAATAGGGTAAGCTTTAAAAACTTTCTGTAAAGAGTACTGTGGTTTCCTCTTCTTAAATATAGAACATGGGTAAGCTTGAATATCTCTTTTGCATTTTCTAAATGTCTTTTTTCAATAGATTTCAATGCAATGCTGAGGTGTTTGGTCAACGTGATTTGTGTAGGTAGATGTAAAATACAGGTACAAACATAACCTACCCAGTTCTGCTGATTGACAAGCATCACAGAATCAATTCTAGACCTAGATCTACTGACGATTGTTAATAGTTCCCTGGCCACATCTAAATGGCAGTGTCTAACAGCAACATGCAATGGTGTTTCTCCTATCTAACAAATAAAATATTAAATATTTTATAAGCATTTACAAATGTAGATGTCCATATTAAGTATTGCACAATGGGTGTCATTTTGAACTACAAGAGTAAAACAACGATAGAAAATACATGCTTAATCTTTTGATTCAAATAGAATTATTCAATGAATGCAATACTCACACAGTTTCCACCTCTCTGTTCAAAAACATGTCATTTTAAATATTGGCTTAAAATTTTGTGATTGGTATGATAATATTCTTAGACTCATACCAAACATAAACAATAACAAATAAAATAGTCATTGATATGTAACAATTTCAAACTATTTGTATAATGCTTACATTGTCCTGTTATTTGATCAATCCTAAGGTTGAATCACTTTTGTTATAATTAGAAATTTATTAAACTTTAGTGACATTGGTTATTTTCTATTTATAATTATCTCCCCTTATGATGTAAATAAAAATATTTATTTGTCTCTCAACTTTTTGTTGAAAATAGAATGTATTTATTTTATTTTATAAAAGAAAGAGTGCTCTAAATATAGTTAAAGCGTTACTTAATAAATATTCCTTCAATGCATCAGCAACCCTATGAAAAAGCAAAGAATGCATTCAATTCTTATGAACACAATTAAAACTCTCATACTGATATATAAAACATCCTTCATTATTATAACATTACTTTGCAATGGACTATATTTGCATTTATATTACTTAGTCATTGGGATATGTGCTGTCATCAGAACTTTATAGAATTATAAAGCATCAATTTTAAATACCTATGGTCACCTATACCTTAGTTAAGCTGTAAAGATTTTCACTGAAAGGGGACATAACACTTTCATCATGGAGGTCTCTCTTTACAAGTCAAGAAATGGTTTAAATCCATTGTGCAGTAAGAATGTCTTATCAAGAGACTAACATTAAAATAACAGACAACATCTCCTTATACAAATATTGTGAATTCAGAAATTAATGCATACATTTATTATTGCGATTTTTCAAAAATGGACGAAAATGCAAGATTGATTACTGGGATTTCAAGAAAATCTGCATATATATATGTGTATCGAATTCAGAATGCAAGTTTTTATTATTGCGATACTCATCCAGTCATAATATTCACATTAATAAAAATCTCACAATTATTTCTAATTTACAGTATTAGAGAATTTCTGGTACCTAGTGCCTCAAATAAAATTAAATATTGAAATTCATTCAGTTGAATTGTTATGTTTATCTGAAATAAAAAAAAGAAAAATTAAATGATAAGAATTTTATGTAATCCATCTCTTGGGTTTCTCTTTAAAAAAAAATGAACACCTCTGTACCTTTGATTGTTGTGTAGGATCCCCTCCTTCCTCTAAACAAGCTATCACCATCTGTATTTGACCATGTCTAGCTGCTATATGCATTGCAGTTTCTCCATTCTGGAAAATTTTGTACATGTACAATAATTCACGATTATCTTTTAGTGACAACATTCATATGTTTGCTTTCAATCAGTTCAAATTTAACATGAAATAGATGTTATGCTATATAAGATGTTGAAATACTTTAATTAATCTATTTATGAACTATCTGTGAGAATATTATGTATCAGTCTTGCCAGGCTTACCTCCCTTGTAGCATTAACATCTGCACCACTTTTTAACAACATTTCAGCACATTTTTCTCCTTCTCTTGTCCTAGCAGCTATATGTAAGGGTGTCTCTTGTGCCTACAATTTATCATAAACATGTCACAATACTGAAGCAATTCTGTTATGAATTAAATACAAATATTGAAATTGAAATTGAAATTCTAGGGGATAAGAGGAGACAACAGACACAGAAAATACATGTTTACAATCCTAATTCATAATCTTAATAATATGGCAAACAATTACTAATCTTAAAATCTAAAATTATTTCCAAATGAATATATTTTGGTGTTGGAAGAAAAACAATATCATTAAACTTTTTTTATATCATTGAGCATAACACAGTCGTTGATGTTATTGCAAGAAGAAGGCTAATTGAAAAACAAAATCTGAAACCTATTTGAAATACTAACTGAAAAAAAGAAAGTGAGAAAGATTATTTTGTTTCATCTTAATATACTAATTTTCAAATCTAAATAAATTGATGAATACTAATTGTTCACCTTTCCCCCTTTGAGTTCTACTTGTGCTCCAAATCCCAGTAGTGTTTGTACAACTTGTGGCTTACAACACTCTACTGCTAGATGTAATGCTGTAGATCCATCCTTAAAATATACAACAAAATTAATGTGTTGTGAGTTTAACATATGTAGAACATTTTGTGGGTATATAATTCTGTTAATAGAAAAGAAATGGTAAAAAAAAAGAAAATAGTTAATATGTACATATATATGGAATTAAATTTCAGTTGATTTTTCAGCACAAGCCAAGCTAAGGTATTGTTTTGACATGAAATGACAGTCACTTAATAAAAATTAAGATAAAGGCTATGAATGCTTGAAATTGCAGAATTTAACATAGAAAGCAATCGGGTTATAATTAGTGTTTTTTTATAACCTATGATGATTAAGATATTGAATACCTATAATCTATTGATTCAAAAATTGTTTTTTACTAAAGACTTCACTGTTCATACCTAACTATTTAGATAATTTATTGTAAAAACCTTTTATCACATGCTGGTTATTTTGTTCCAATTATATTTTGAACTTCCTGAATCTGTATTATATAATTCATTTGCCTTTGTGTTTTACCTTTGTTTTGGAATCAGGAGCTGCACCTTTTTGTAATAAAGCTCGTACAACATTAGTATGCCCTTTCATCGCTGCAGCATGTAAACAGATGGCGCCAGACTGTAAAATAATTAGATAATTAGTTTGCTTTTTATACAAAATTACAAATATCGGATGTTTTCCCTCTTTTTAAGTCACAAAGTGCATTAACAAACTCTAAAAAAAAAAATGACTCATTCTGCACAAACTTTTTAAAGCAGTACAATTTTTCCTTCATTCCAATGAATACAAAGTTTGAATACAATGTTATCATGGATATTTGATTTAGTGGTGCTGCTACAGTCTGCATAAAAGCCTATACAAAATTTGTATTTTCGTTGATTAATAAAAACTTGTGGTTTACCTATACCTAGGAATTCCTCGAAAATAGGAAACCCACGAATAATAATGATTCTACAGTATACCTTATTTGGCATCTGAAGGGGAACTCCTTTTCTAAGAAACGTTAAGGCAGTGTCAGGATGACCATATGTAGAAGCTATATGCATGAGAGTGCTGCCATCTTTAGTCCGAGCAGAAATAGATGCTTTACATTTGTCTACAAGAAGGTCCACTATAGTTGTATGTCCTCTTTCTGCTGCCAAGTGTACAGGTACTCTGTCCATCTGTAATTAAAATCACATTATTAGTTCTACCCTTACAGTTTATTTTCAAGCACTTCATTTTTATCATTGGCCAAAATGAAAATAAATGGAATTTATTTTACTCCTGAAAAACATTCTAATCTTAAATAAGGCTTTCTTAAAAAATATATTCTTCTGCTAGTACTTTCTGCAAAAATGACAAATCTGTTTCATTCTAATGACTGATTTTTCATTACAATAACGTCTCTGATTTATGCTTAGCAAAGAGTCTAATTTTTAATGGATGAAATCTCTTTTAATTGTCTCATTTACATGGCCAAGTATGATTTGTTTCTAAATAACATGTCTTTTAATACAGTCTTGTCTACATAGCCATGCATGATTTGTTTCTAGAGAACATGTCTGAACAGGTGCTTGTCTAGGTAACATAGTTAATATCAAATGCACCAAAATGTTTTAAATGTTTTAATTTTTCTGTTCTCTATGGTTAATAATTTTTCTGTACTTTACCTAAGAGTTCTTCGTTTCAATTGTTATATCTTGTATTAATCATTGACAATAAATACTTTGACTTATGATTAACCTACCCTATCTGACAGGTTTGGATTAGCTTTCATCTGGTACAGATATTTAACCAGCATCTCATCTCCTTCCCATGATGCAATATGTAAAGCAGTATGCCCATCATACTGAAATAAACAGAAAAACTCATTTTCAAATATTTAATTCAGGTACCATACAAGAGTAAGGATTTTTTCTTTATAATTATTTCTGAGTATAAAATAACAATCAAAATAACACACAAGAGGCTTTCAAGAGCCTGAATCACTCACCTGTAATTTTTTGCTTAAATCTTTCATCATGTTAGAAAACATGATAAACAAATTGTGTAAAATTGTCCTTAAAGAGCTATAACTCCTTAAGGGGTCAATTGACAATTTTGATCATTGAACTTCTTTGTAGATCTAACCTTGCTGAACATTTTTGCTGTTCACAGTTTATCTTTATCATTAATAATATTCAAGATAACCAAAAACTGCAAAATTTCCTTAAAATTACCAATTTAGTGGCAGCAACCCAACAATGGGTTATCAGATTCAACTGAAAATTTCAGGGCTGATAGAACTTCACTTAATGAACACTTTTACCCCAGTCAGATTTGCTCTAAATGCTTTGGTTTTTGAGATATAAGCCAAAAACTGCATTTTACCCATATGTTCTATTTTTAGCCATGGGGGCCATGTTATTTGACAAACAGTAAATAAAACACAAACTTTATTCTAGATACCCTAAGCATCATTCAGCTTAAGTTTGGTTGGAATTGGTTCAGTAGTTTCAGAGGAGAAGATGTTTGAAATAGTTTACACCAAACAGACAACGACGGACGCCAAGTGATGGCAAAAGCCTTCAGAACGATGAGCTAAAAGGCATACTTTAATGGAGCTAGCATAATTTATGAAAAATCATATTCAAAAGCTAATTGTGATTAACATAATGCATTTTGTTGATATCATGGTTTCTAATATAATCCTGAAACTTTAGATGCTGTTAATAGGTCCGAGTACACAGTTATTTCGTAGTGCATTTCTTTTAGACAATAAATGAAAATTAAAAAAATCCCACCTGCGCTTTCTCAATAATATTTTTACAGTGTGTTGTACTACTTTTGGGACAAATTATATCAAAATTATAGAAAACTTCATCGGCTCTAACTCAAAATATGGACAATTTCATGCTAAGGGGGTCTTCAAATCTTTTGACAGCCTCCGAAGTGCTAATTTTTAACCTTTTTCAGCTGGACCAAATCACTACTTTACTTTAAAATTCATGACCCAAATTTTTTTACAGTGTCATTTCACCCCCCTACTTACTATTTGAGTCATAAAACATGGAGAAATAAATTCGGATGGGGTATAAAAAAAATCGACAAGTAACACACTGTCCACACTAGGGACTATATTTGTGGACAACGAAAATCAAAGGACGATAACTGTGTACCCGGACCTAATAGGGTAGAAAAAGTTGACCAATCTTAATGAAACTTGGTATGACCAAAGCTTATTAAATTATAAGACTGCTTACAAAGTTTCATGGCAATAGGATATATATTATAGACAATATGACTAATTCTATATTCAACTTTGAGTGTTAAATTTAGACGTTAAAATTGAAAATTTTCAACTATCAACATTTGGGGCTTAAAAATTAAAATATTGCAAAAAAATACTTTTGAAATGCCTTAATATATAATATATTATGTATTAAAAGCAATAGAGTACTCATTTGATTTATCAGACTTATTATAATTATTAAAAAGTCAAAATTATATGAGCCTGTGGCTAAAAATGGAGGTTTTCCAATGAAGGGGGGCCTTACATGAAGATGTAATATTTTCTTGCAATTTTAAATTTGTAAAGCTTTTTGGTTATAAATAATCCTTACATATGTATTTAATGTACTTTAAATGGAAAGAAAACTTACAAATAACATATCACATTAGTTTAAAAGGGTCTTAGGCCAAGTAAGACTGAAAATAATTTAGGGTCAATTTAGGCCGTATCACATATTTACATTTAAAAATGCATATTGAAGCTATATGAAATAAAATTTTGTATCTTTTCTATCATTTCTATACTCAGGTGACATGATACAATAAATCTGAGCACAAAAAGACTCTTGCATTCAACTTTTTTTGCAGACAGTATGGTCTGATACAAAGATTTTTCACTTTTTAGTGAAAAACATGCATGCAATTTTAGTCTCAACAGGCTTATATTTGAACCACTTGCTATCCTACAGAAGAAAAGAAAGATATTATGTGACATAAAACAGGCACAAAAGACATTGTTTAGTGCTTTTTATACAAATTTAGTAAGGTCTTTATAATGGACTTCAACTTTTATGTTCCAAGCTCCTCACATTTAACTTGATCCAAACAGGGCGTTAGACGAGGACCATATATACAACACATTTTGCACATATTGTCTGAGATAATCTTCTTTTCTGTAGATTCAGAGTTCCCAAATGAGTAATACAACTGGATTGAAGCATAGAAACACAAATATTGACACATAAAAACCTGTCAGATAGAAAGTCAGAATGCCACTTATGCATCAAAATTGAAAAAGCTATGAAATGCTTATTTTGACCATAAAATGCCAAAATTGGTCATTTTTGCAGAAATTCTATCAAATAAAAGTTTAAATCCTTTAGTTTTATGCTATTTGATAAATTGACACCATCAAATCATTCAGGGAAGTTGCCAAAGTACAGATTCTATATTTCCAGATTTCACCTCTTAGGTCCGAGTACACAGTTATTTCGTAGTGCATTTCTTTTAGACAATAAATGAAAATTAAAAAAATCCCACCTGCGCTTTCTCAATAATATTTTTACAGTGTGTTGTACTACTTTTGGGACAAATTATATCAAAATTATAGAAAACTTCATCGGCTCTAACTCAAAATATGGACAATTTCATGCTAAGGGGGTCTTCAAATCTTTTGACAGCCTCCGAAGTGCTAATTTTTAACCTTTTTCAGCTGGACCAAATCACTACTTTACTTTAAAATTCATGACCCAAATTTTTTTACAGTGTCATTTCACCCCCCTACTTACTATTTGAGTCATAAAACATGGAGAAATAAATTCGGATGGGGTATAAAAAAAATCGACAAGTAACACACTGTCCACACTAGGGACTATATTTGTGGACAATGAAAATCAAAGGACGATAACTGTGTACCCGGACCAATAGAGTGATACCAGCTTGAACTATCTAGCCTACTGGGCCACCATCATTAAATATAATTTTCTAACAGTGATATGAAATTTAAGTGTGTAAAATTTGCATGAGAGCATCTTCCAGATGTCTATCCAACCGTAAATGTACCTTGAACAGGAACAGAATTGTGTGCTTTCTGCTATGAAATTGTTTACTCTGTTTTTTAAGTTGTTAAATCTATTTGTAAATGTCCAAGACGTCTATTACAGAAATAATTGGTGTCATGGCTTTATAGAGAATTTCTTTTATCATCTTCAATTTGGGCCTGTTATGACCCATCATTGGAAACAAAACGATTGCTTATCTGTAGTTGCTGACCATGTTTTTTTAAAAGAAGTGTTTTGGGTTTTTTTACAGGTCTATTTTTGGTAATTTTTTTTAAATTCATTGGTTGGCAAACAAAAGCAAAAGTACAATATTTTACTGCATGGAATTAAAATTAACATAAATTCTTCATTTGCACCGCTCAATTTTTTTTTCAAACTTACATTAGTGGCATCAACTGATATTCCACTTTCAAGCAACATTTTGACAAGGTCAAGATCTCTTCTTCTACATGCTATATGTAACACATTGTCTCCATTATCCTGATAATATACAAAAATAGTACAGTTCAGTCAACATTACCAATTTCAAGATTCTTATGAGTGTACAATTTTCTTTAATGTAGTTTCTATGGTAATAACATTCTTTGTCATTTGCCTCTTGAGTTTCATTGTCTTGCCCAAAATCTACACAATGGAAAATGAAATATGAGACCAATATTAAAATAAGAAGTTAGCAATATATGTATAAATATATAAATTGTTATTACCTATCAATTGCATCTTGTGCACCACTTTATATGAATTAAAGGAGATATGGGCTATATGTCAATGAGACAGCAACAATGACATAAAAAAAAAAAAAAAATATTTATCTGACAGTCAAAGTCTCACAACTCTGGAATGACATATCAGAATTTATTTTTAAATCAAACATTGTGTTGTATTTACCAATTTCAACAATTATATAAATACTAATGGTTGAAGTTCTGTAACTCTGTAAAACATAGCTAAAAAGGTTCAAAATTGAAAGGGAGCTTTCTTCTGTGAATCCTAATGGTATCTTAAAATTACATAAAATTGATTAAAGCAAATTTGAGAAATCATCCGACGTGTTGTCGGACGGACATTGCAATATCATAATATGGCCAGTGTTTGACTGGCGTATAAAAATTCAGAAGAAATTCAAATCGCAGTTTATCCATCTGAAAATGATTTATTTCATCTTGGCTGGTGAAACAAACTAAAAGATAAAAAAAAAAAATTTTAATTAAATCTTAAATAATTTTAGGAATATTTTCAAAATCAATAATGGACCTACTTCTGATATTTAATGGTGCTCAAGCAGTCATAAAGAACAAAGCATTCTGCATAAGATATACAAGCTAGCTGCACAATATCAAATGATAAATTCATTGACATATTTATTTTCCCTTTTCTGTAGACATCTGACTTAAACAATATCAAGGTACCGGTAATAGATTAAAGGAAATCATTATTCTTTTCTATGGTTCCTACAGAGCAAAAATCAAATGCCATTAATTACAGCATACAAACAATGCATCAATGTCGCCAACAAGATATGACAATGTCAGAAAGCAGATAAAATATCGACAGAATTAACATATACAGCTTGTCAGTTCTCTTTGTGGGGTGTAATTATAGACAATCTATTTACCAGATTAACAACTTATTAATTTCCACTAGTCTTAATTTATATCAAAATGACTTGGGTAAAGAAAATCAGTAGAACTTCCACCCTCTATTTCAACAATATAATTACAAAACAATTAATTAAATAGATCCTTAACTGAGTAAATAAAAATCTCCTTCAGTGTACTTCTCTACACCTTTCTCAATCCATCTATATTTGCATTATCAGAAATTTGTGACGTCAAATATATAACCTAAAACTGCTTCGTGTGACCCAAAATAATTCTAAAAAAAGAAAATGTTTGATTTATAAGAAACTAATTAAAATTTATATGTGTTTAAAGGTTGCTCTCATTGACATATACCCGAAATTCCATCAATTTATGATAGACAAAAAAAAATTAAATTTTTTAAGCAAATTATTTTTATCAAATACACTATTAAGGAAATAAAAGGAAAAAAGGTTACCATTTCTTTTCATTTTTCTTATTTATAGTTCACAAATCAGCTGAACAACTGTTTGATTTGAACTATTCAAAGTGAAAGTATCTCCCTTGAATTAGACGAACTACAAATTCTCCTCCCTGACCAAATCACAATCCTTGATTCAAGTTTTTTTTTAAGATTTAAGGAAACAAATCAATCATATTCCCATATTAATATGAAATTGAAAAGTTGTCTAAATTGGATGCTTGGATACTAGAGTGGACCCATGAAATACTAAGCAAAATTATTACCAATATATGAAAGAAATGGGGCTTTTATAGCTTATCATAAACATTATATGTTTATTTGTTATCAAATATCAGTCATGCTAGTAAACTGTCAAGGCTCTTAGTTTTGGAACAAAACATGCTTTCTGTCACGTCCACTCTTATAGATGTACTAAATAATGTACCTTGACACAAAATATAAAATTAGGTTATTAAATTCTGAAGTTGATCAATAAATTTGTATGTTTAAAGTTTATTCAAAATTTCAAATTTTGAAAAATTTAAACCAAGGGATTAAATTAAAAAGAAGATGAACAACAAAGTTAAATAATTACATTACATGTATGTTTCATTATAATACATTATTTTGATTGACTAACAGCAATCTCGCGTCATTCTGAAATTAACCTTCATTTCAAAATGAAATGTAACATTCATGATGACAAGAGCTTCCACAATAAAGTGTACAGGTAAATTAAATAAAAACTTGATAGAAATCGTGTTTTCATGATCCTAGCAAAAAAATGTAATTATAAGTATTGAAAGCTTCTTTTAGTAATGGTGTTTTCATGATCCTAGCAAAAAAATGTAATTCTAAGTATTGAATGCTTCTTTTAGTAATTTTATAGGGTTGTGAAAGCGTTGACCGTGTGCACATTTTTAGAATGAAGCGCTTCCGCGCTTCATACAAAATGTACTTCGGTCAACGCTTTTACACCCCAATAAATTTACAAAAAGAAGCATTCAATCCTTAAATATAGATCTAGTCATTCTAGTGCCCATGCTCACACATCCTCTTTAGTTCATTTATCAAACTAATATTACTTTTTCATATTAAAAAAAACACAAGGTCCACTGGATAAACTGTCACATTGTTCAGAAGTACAGCTGTTTAAGTTACATGTACTTTAACAAAAACAGGATTTTTCTCATTATCCGGATGACATTAGGAATAATTACATTCTATTTTCAATAATTACATTTATCTGATAAGATTTTAAAGATTTTTCTAAATGATTTTTGAACCTTGGCCATTTTTTTTCCAACGAAACTCATCTCATAATTCCCATCTATGTCTTAAACTTAATTGAATAATTATTGTAGTTTCTCATATGTGTCAAAAGATAAAAAATAGTGTATAGATTTCTCATTAATCTTGGATCACTATCTTACTTTCCAGTAATGTATGAAATCACAATGATTTAAGTGACAGTTCTATATCTGATTTTCTACAATTGTTTCCTTATAGGTTAACCTGATAAGATGGGTGTAACCATTAATAATACCTGACAGCTAAAAAGATCAAACTGATTTGGAAAATGTCAGGTGATACAAACTAGAGGCTCTCAAGAGCCTGTGTCGCTCACCAGACTCTACTTTGGTTTTAGAAATCATGTAAAAATAGATAAAAATCATAACAGATACCCAACTAATGATTGAGGCCAAATTTAGTTTAATATTGGTCCCGTTATTTAATAAAATATCCTGGTGGCCATCTTGAACAGTAAATCGGTAACAAAGTAGCAACACTTGGTCAGCACCTCATAAGGAACATTCATGCCATGTTTGGTTTCATTCCATTCAGAGGTACTCTAAAAGAAGACATTTGTATGTATTTCCCATAGGGTCCTATGTTAAACTAAGTCCCTGCTGTCAGCCATCTTGGATGATGGATCGGCTGCAAAGTAACAACACTTGGTCAGCACCTCATAAGGAACATTCATGCCATGTTTGGTTCCATTCCATTCAGTGGTTCTCTAAGATAGGACATTAGTATGTATTTCCCATAAGGTCCTATGTTAAACTAAGTCCCCCGCTGGGGGCCATCTTGGATGATGGACCGACTGCAAAGTAACAACACTTGGTCAGCACCTCATAAAGAACATTCATGCCATGTTTGGTTTCATTCCATTCAGTGGTTCTCTAAGAGAAGACATTTGTATGTATTTCCCATAAGGTCCTATGTTAATCTAAGTCCCCTGCTGGCGGCCATCTTGGCTGATGGATCCGTTGCAAAGAAACAACACTTGGTCAACACCTCATAAAGAACATTCATGCCATGTTTGGTTTCATTCCATTCACTGGTTCTCTAAAAGAAGACATTTGTATGTATTTCCCATAGGGTCCTATGTTAAACTAAGTCCACTGCTGTCAGCCATCTTTGATGATGGACCAACTGCAAAGTTACAACACTTGGTCAGCACCTCATAAGGAACATTCATGCCATGTTTGGTTTCATTCCATTCAGTGGTTCTCTAAGAGAGGACATTTGTATGTATTTTCCATAAGGTCCTATGTTAAACTAAGTCCCCCCACTGGCGGCCATCTTGGATGATGGATCGGCTGCAAAGTAACAACACTTGGTCAGCACCTCATAAGGAACATTCATGCCATGTTTGGTTCCATTCCATTCAGTGGTTCTCTAAAAGAAGACATTTGTATGTATTTCCCATAGGGTCCTATATTAAACTAAGTCCCCCGCTGGCGGCCATCTTGGATGATGGACTGACTGCAAAGTAACAAAACTTGGTCAGCACCTCATAAGGAACATTCATGCCATGTTTGGTTTCATTCCATTCAGTGGTTCTCTAAAAGAAGACATTTGTATGTATTTCCCATAGGGTCCTATGTTAAACTAAGTCCCCTGCTGGCGGCCATCTTGGATGATGGATCAGCTACAAAGTAACAACACTTGGTCAGCACCTCATAAGGAACATTCATGCCATGTTTGGTTCCATTCCATTCAGTTGTTCTCTAGAAGAAGTTCAAAATGTAAAAAGTTAACGACGACGACGACAGACGACTGACACCAAGTGATGAGAATAGCCACTTGGCCCTTTGGGCCAGGTGAGCTTAAAATTACCTAGGCAACCATTTTTGATGAACTAGTAACAACTGGGAAAATGCTCTAATACCTATCATAAGAGATGTTCAAGCCTGCAGACTACCTGAAGATGTTAGTTAATTGTAATGGTAAAAATCAGAATCAAATAGGCTTCTATTTTCTTTAACAGAATCATTTTGGCTTGCTGGATTTGATAGAAACTCTCAGATGCTGACCCTAGTAAACATGAGAGCACAATCTGAAATATCTTGCTGGCTTTGATAGAAACTCTCAGATGCTGATCCTAGTAAACATGAGAGTACAATCTGAAATATCTTGATTTGATAGAAACTCTTGGATGGTGATCCTAGTAAACATGAGAGCACAATCTGAAATATCTTGCGAGCTTTGCTGACTTCAACTGAATTTGAAGCAGAAAGTCTAAAAGATCATGGTATTTACAGGTATCATATAAACTAAATATTGTCAATCATCCATGAAAACGAGGTCAAGGTCAGATTAACCCTGCAAGATGGACATGTACATCCAATAGTCACTACATAAAACAAATATAATTGATTTATTGTTTGTAATATATGATTGATGGATGGATTGATTGATTGATTGATTGATTGATTGATTGATTGATTGATTGATTGGTGTTAAACGCCACTTTAAGCACTATTGTGCTTTTTCAAGGCGGTCAGTTTTTATTGGCGAAGGAAGCAGGAGTGACAATCCTAGTCAATTAAGATTGGAGGCAAGTGCACCTGCCACATGCATGATTGGTAATCACAACCTCAGTGTTGACAGCCTAGTGATACAGTAGTTGGACTACTTAGAACACTTGGCCACCACCACCCCTTGAAGTGTATGAGAAACTGACCTTATTAAAACTTAACTTTGAACAATGATCCATGAAAATGAAGTCAAGGACATGTGACTCCTGTCAGAGGGAAATGTACACCTTATAATCATAATTGACCTATTGCTTATACATATAGTATCTGAGAAATAGACAAAATCACAAAAAGTTAACATTGACCAATGAACCATGAAAAAGGAAACAAGGTAAGATGGACCCTGGCAGACTGACATGTACACCTTACAACCATTCAAATACACCAAATATAGTTGACCTATAGCTTTTAGTATCTAAGAAACAGACCTAATTCAGTGTGAGCAAGTGCTCCGTGTTGAAGGCCGTTCCTTGACCTATAATGGTTTACTTTTATAAATTGTAACTTGGATGGAGAGTTGTCTCATTGGCACTCATACCACATCTTCCTATATCTAACTAATTACAAAAACTTTAATCACAGATCTGTGAAATGAGTCAAGGTCAGATAATATATTATCCAGGTCATGTACTTTCTGAAACATAAAGCAGCTTTAGCTTTATACAAAGAATAACCTAGACTATGCCGTTGCCGCCAGATATGCATTCTGATGTCTGGCATTCTGCAACCAAAAACATTTAAACCACTCATGCTAAGCAGATTAAAAATCACTATGGAATGTATCTTTTAACATGTATGAAAATCTTTTTACCTGTACAGTTTTTATAATCTTTGGGCAAACATTGATGCATGGAAGTTAGGGGATCAAAGGATGGACAGGATCTTTTAGATTAATTAAAACAACAAATGGGTAACTTATAAATTTAAAAATATCCAAAATCAGCCTCTTGTAGGATTTCAATTTCCCTGACTTTCCAAAGACAGACATTTTGACCTTCTGTATATTTGAAATAATCATGCAGACTTTGGATTTAGTTTATACAAATGTACATATCTTTGCCCAAGTCAAATTGAAAAGTATGGTGTATTTTACTAATGACATTTTTAAATTGTATATCTATGTACTGGTTTTAAGACACAACATAAAATAAACTGTTAACACAGAGATATGTCTCGCCTTTTTGTAATTTTGATAATGCAAATTTTGAAATTTAAATAGCAATATTTTAACATGTAAGTTATGCAAATATTCAAAGTCAATGAACCATGACTGACGGTACATGGATAAACAATCTCCATGGAAATGAGATGTACCAATGCTAATACAACTGCATACCAAATACTATTGACTTATCATAAGTCATTCCCTTTAAACAAACATAAACACAAACATTAAACTATGTAAATGTTTCAAAGTCAATGAACCATGATGACGGGTGGGGCTATACAATCTCCAAGGAATCGAGACTTGCAAATGCCAATAAATTTGCATACCAAATATCACTGACTTAACAGTAGCGGTTCATCTTAATCTGATCAAATCACAAACTAATACATGTAAACTAAGCAAAAGTTTCAAAGTCAATAAACCATGACTAAGGGGGCAGTGCTAAATATTCTCCATGGAAATGAGATGTGCAAATGCTTATACAACTGCATACCAATTAATATTGTCCTACCACTAATGGTTCCCCTTGAACTAACCTAATCACAAACTAATACATGTAAACTAAGCAAAAGTTTCAAAGTCAGTAGACCATGACTGAAGGGGCGGGGCCAAATAATCTCCATTGAAATGAGATATGCCAATGCTTATACAGCTGCATACCAAATATCATTGACCTACCACTAGTGGTTCCCCATAAATTGACCTAATCACAAACTTATACATTGTTGTTGACACTGCAGCCGCCGCGGGAAACAGCATACCCAAGTCTCGCTTTTCGACTCTGTCAAGGCGAGACAAAAAAACACACTTAGAGAGAAAAAGGTGTTTACAAAGAATTAAATTAATTAACCATTAGCTTATTTTGCAATAAATATACTGAAACGTGTTTATTATCTAACTATTAAATACATTAATTTCCTTAGGGATATAATTAAAAAATTGAATACAGGCAGCTGATGTGCTATCCTTATCAAATATTCTCAGTATTTTTCAGACCAATAGTCTCATTTTTCTATTTTTCTCTCTTTTCATGCAGGATAAACCAAAAAGGACTAATGTTTTGTCTTCATGACAAAATACATAAAGCAACTGAGACTTTACTATAGTTACAAGCACGAAGGCTAGGGTAACCTAAAAACTGAGAGTAATAACACAATCTAAATTTATTTAAGTATCCCTACCTCTTTCTGGGCTGCCAGTTGCTGATCTGCATGTTGTGTTAGTAATTCTTTACAAACAGATATATTTCCTACTTCAGCCGCAAAGAACAGTGGAATAGAACCTCCCTATAACAAGATATTAAAAACAAGATAAGTACAGTTAAAAGTCAAAAGGCTCAAAAGACCAGTTTTGCTCACCTTGTATCATTTCAAATAAAAGACCACACATGAACCCAATGCACATAAAATATCAATGGTCTATTACAAGTACTTCTTAGTCACTGAGGGAGTATCCTATCCCATTCTGTTAAAATTGTATGTGCAACATACTATATATCAATAATATATTATTAAAACATGTGATAAAAAACAGTTAAATTTCAATGAAGCATCTATAAATATAATGTTTCTGATAAAAAATTAATATCAGACTGTATTCTCACCCTACCTTCTATTGTATTGTCATAAATAGAACTAAAGTATTGAAATATGATATGTTTAAACTCAGGAAGTACTTTTATCTTTCAACAGCAAGGGCAACAGTTGTTATATAATAACAAATTCTGGTAAATTTTTATTCTGATGGTCTGACTTCTTTACCTCTAACAAATACTGAATATTTCAATTCCATTTTATGATGAGACTTCATGAAACCTGTTATGAGTGTTGTTTAAGTTTTTTTTTGTTTGTTTTTCATGAGAATGCAGTATTCAACCAACAGCTTGTGCTACCTTAACTACTTCTTGTACATTTTGACCCTCGATTCCAAATTATTTGCTGTTTTAATTCCTTGTTCCTGTTGGTAGCTGGACTTATTCATGCATTATTAGAGTATAGAGTATCCAGATCAGGACCTAAAATACTGCACATGACTGATACATAAATGCTGTTTGGCCTGTACATCAAATACTATATAGATATATATAATTCTTACTCGATTTATCCCTTTCCTGACCTGTTGATTATTTTTATTTCTCTAATTCTTCGTCAATTTATCCCTTTCTGCACCCATTGTATAAAAAAAATTTAATCAACGTGTGGTTTGTTTGATCTCAGTTCTTCATTGGTTAAAATCCGATTATGACGTCGAATTTTCTTGCTTTCCTCTGAATTTCCTATTGTGACGGCATGAAAAAAGGCGACCATGCCTGATGACGTCACATAGAAAGAGCACATCTTTTTGCAGATCATTCGAAAAGAATGAATAAATTTGCCTGCGTATTGTTTGAAAATCATTAGAGAAACAGATTCCACCACCAAATCTCGTGTAATACGATATTTATCCACTCTCGACAGTTAAATTTTAAATATTTAAAACGCTCGGCAAGCCTCGCGTTTTAAATTTGAAAATTTAACTGTCTCGAGTGGATAAATATCGTATCACACTCGATGCAGTGGTAGAATCTATATTTAACTCTTGACAGTTTAATTTTAAATATTTAACTTTGTTTTGCTCATTATTGAAGAATGTACAGTGACCGTTAGTTGTTTAAATCTACCTCATTTAGTCTCTGGTGAATAGTTGTCTCATAAGCACTTTCTAAACTATTTTATCCTGCAAACTTTTGTACAAATAACAGGTACACAAAAAATATTTGTAATTGTTCAAATGAGGTCTCCATTTACTCTGCTTCCATGTAGAGCAAATGTTAATGTGAATATTTCTTTTTGCGTAACAGTTCATTTTTGTTTCCTCTTTGAGGTTCGCTTTTTTAACTATGCTGATTTTCTTTGAAAAATCAGAGACAACTATTTGGATTTAAACAACTGAAACTGAAAGTGCCAGGTGTAAATTACAGGATAAAAACAATATATGTACATTGTCAGAAATATAAAATTAATTTGTACTCGCTACGAAATAGGAGAAAAGCTTGGCAAGCCTCCCTTTTCATCCTGTTTCTAAAGCTCATACAAACAAATTTTACATTTTTCGACAATGTACATATATTGTATATATATTTAAATTAAGTCTTAATTACTTTATCAGTAACCAGTCTGGTTTCCTTTCCAGCAGATTTTAGAAGATATTGTACAACTGTAACTGCCCCTGTATTTCTGGCAGAGGCCATATGTAATGGTAGCTGATCTTTTGGCTGAAAAAAAATCAACAAAAAATATAAATAACTATCAGTCCAAACCCAGGAACCCGACATTAAGTGGTGGACTTTGTTGTACCTTCATTGTTATCTTTAGGTTTACTTTGGTAAGATTTTCTGCATCATTTATATGGTCTTACAAACGAGACTTTGCCTGTCTTTCTAAAGCTCCCAATGTACTCATGTTAAAGATAACATCACAAGCTACCTTTGCTTGATTTTACTCTTATTAAATGGAACTTGTATAAAGCACCACATATTTTACTCTTATTAAATGGAATATGTATAAAGCATCATTATATTTTTCCATTTTCAAATTCAAAAAGCAGATGGCCTTTCATTATCAGATTTCAAGTCTAAGGCAGAGGTAATAACCAATATTACTGGGGTATCCTTTCACTATGAGATTTCAAGTCTAAGGCAGAGGTAATAACCAATATTACTGGGGTATCCTTTCATTATCAGATTTCAAGTCTAAGACAGAGGTAATAACCAATATTACTGGGGTATCCTTTCATTATCAGATTTCAAGTCTAAGGCAGAGGTAATAACCAATATTACTGGGGTATCCTTTCACTATCAGATTTCAAGTCTAAGGCAGAAGTAATAACCAATATTACTGGGGTATCCTTTCACTATCAGATTTCAAGTCTAAGACAGAGGTAATGACCAATATTACTGGGGTATCCCTTCACTATCAGATTTCAAGTCTAGTGCAGAGGTAATAAGGCAGAAGGAATAACCAATATTACTGGGGGTCTCCTAAAATTATTTCCTGATTTAGATTGCGCTATCGGTGCAAGTAAGTATTCAGTTTCTCCTTTCTTTTGAAGATGATGGATTGGTGTTTAACATTCAGTGGCAAATATTACATGCCATAACAGGATGAGAACATCTTACCGGTAATGTGATATGAATATAAATCCTCCTTTGTACTGGACTTACAAGTTTGCCTGATTTTAACCTGCTAGTTCACAAGGTAACAACCCATAAGTCATCCTAACCTGAAACACTAATCTGACTCCGTATTGACCAGTTTTTGATATTTCTCCTAAAAACACCTTATGATTAGCTGAGAAGCAGCTAATACCTTTCATCAAACCTTTGGTTTGACTAAAACAATAATCAAACCCATGACCTCCCTCTCTTAATGCGGAAAAGCTACCACAAGACCACTGAGCTGTCCAGAAATGGGGTAAATTAAAGAACACACATGTATATATCTGATGAAGCAAATAAAAATGATATTACAATACATAATTCTGAATTATAAAATATATCTAATACAAAACTTTGCATTATAAAATGCATTTGATACAGCAATAAAATTCCTAGTCAAAATCAATTTTCGTTTGTATAAATTTTAATTAACTCTTAACTTGAATAATGTTACTATTTACATAATTCTGCATTATAAAATTTATATAACAATTTTGTCGTAAGTGAAATCTTTTTGATATACTAAATGTATAAACTTGTTTCAGAATATTTAATGATTCCATAGATTCATCTTTTTGATAGAATATAACTTCTATCCATAAATCTATAGATCCAATTAATATTTTAAAACTCAATTCAATTGATTTTTGTTTCAAACAGATGATATTGAAATACTCTATATATTCAACAAAAATGTTAAAATGAATTTTAAGTGCTGTATCCATGATAATACCCACACAGGAAATGCTACTAATGCAGATCACACTTTGGACTGTTTTTATGGCCTAATATTTAGTCTATTTATAATTAATCTGCTTAGTCACTAGAGCCATACATCCATAAGCATGGTTCAGTCTTTTATGTTAGATATGATATCATATTGAACAAAACATTAAAAAAAAAAATGTCAGACAGAATAAACAAATTATACTTTGTGAAACTTAAATGTAATGCCTATCAAAAAGTAAGCTACATTATATTAATGTCGCTCCATTACATTGTCTTCTTGTCTTCCCGGTTTCCAAAATGTCTGTCAATATACGGTCAATGATCTTGCACTAACACACTCAATGAGACCTAAAATATTATTGTCTGACTGAACATCCTATATTTATTCAGTGCAGCTAAAGTAATTACTATCATAGATTTTTTAATGCACATGTGAAGTTATGATAATAACCCAGTGAATCCCCTAAGGAGATTTTAAATAACTTCTTTATAAAAAATAATTTTTGGATTTTTCAGCCTTTAGCATTATTGAATGATGAACTTAATTGAAAAATTTACACATAACCGATTTAAATCTATACAAAATAAATAATAATGATAAAACTATGACAACAATACTTATAGACAATTAAAAACCACTATATCATTCCAAGCTTGTATGACTTTATTTTCATTCAATTTTATGGATAAAAAAGCTGGGACATTACAGGTCAAATTGCCACCAAGATTTGTCCTAAATATCAAATGTACTGCACCTTTTTCTTTTTTAATCATGTTATTTGAAAGTAAAACCATTTACCCAAAATATCATATGATAAACAAAAGTTAGTGTTTTTATTTTCAAATGTAAATATGATATGTGTGTGTGCCAAAACCTGTTATTTGATTTTAAGAAGGCGTAGAGATTTTATATATTGTAAATAGTACTTTATTTCATATTGTTTACTGTATTATATCTATGCATTGTAATACAATGTAGTCTCTTATAATTCTGAATAGAATGGCTCTCATTTTATTTAGTATTGTTTTAAAATGTATAAATATCGATTGTACTTGTTGAGAGATGAGACTTTAATAAAACATTGAATTGAATTGATATATTTTGAGGGAGTACAAAAGCTACAAATTAAGGGAAGTCACAATTTTTAATTCTTAAAATCATAGGTGTCTCATTTCTTCGATGTGAAATGAATTAGTCATATTTTTCACCTAAAAAGTTTCTTTTGTCCAAATTTATTCCATTTTTAAGCTACATTATAACAGCCTAAAAAGGGTACCATGTAATTATGCACTCCTACTGGCCAACTTTTTTGTAATCATAGGAAGCAGAATTAATGTAGAAACATCTTAGAAATAAAGGAAAGGAATCTTAACAAATTCTTACATTTCACTTTTAGGTATATTGATATATGTCCTTTCACTCAATAACCCTTATTTCAGTAAGGGCTTGCATCTCATATATCCCAGTAAACATGATGTTAAGGATACTACTACGAAAGTCTACCGCAAATTTAGATCTTTTTCTTGATAAAATGATACAGATGTATGACTTCATACTAGGATCTATGACAAAACTCCCATTGTCAACTTCCAATTTCTCAGTATAGCTTTAGCATATATCTCAATTGATATGTTAGGCACATGCATGATTACATTATACAGACTTCATTAACAGGGATGACTACTCCTTAGGCAAAAACTGTTCTAGTAGTGATATTAGGCAGAATGTCTGGAATCAACACTACACAAGTTTTACTGTCACAATCGAGATGTTGTTGATTCATGTATCTATGTTTTAACGGACATGTTTACGAGATACCAGAATAATAAATTTACCAATTGTGTCCTGTTGCCTTTTGCTATATTTTGACTGAGTGTGGATTTGCTTGTCAGATTTTTCTGGTTTCTTTCTAAGATCATGCTCTTCTTTCAGTCTTTTTGTTTACTTGATTTGTATATTTGGAATAGATTTTTTTTTTTTTTTTATTCAAATTGAGAATGGAAATGGGGAATGTGTCAAAGAGACAACAACCCGATCATAGAGCAGACAACAGCCGAAGGCCACCAATGGGTCTTCAATGCAGCGAGAAACTCCTGCACCCGGAGGCGTCCTTCAGCTGGCCCCTAAACAAATATGTATACTAGTTCAGTGATAATGGAAGTCATACTAAACTCCAAATTATACACAAGAAAATAAAATTAAAAATGATACAAGACTAGCAAAGGCCAGAGGTTCCTGACTTGGGACAGGCGCAATATATTGCTTGCTGTTAACAATTTACTTCACTAGTCCAGCATTCTAGTGAAGGATCTCTTATTTTTACTAGAAATCCAGGGTTTCTCTCTGTTTATCAATAATACATTACAATTCATCTAAATTATATTATAAATATTTCATATAAAATAGATTTTGACATCCACAAACTAATGTTTCCACTGATTTATACACCACTTATTTTTGTGTTGCCTTTCTATGCTAACAGTAACAAACACATTATCATTTATAAGATAAATTGTGTGAAAACGATTAACAAGAAATGTGAAAAAGGAGAATTAAGAAATTGAATGTTTGTGGAAATTAACCATTCATTATAGTTCATAATATGAACTTTAAAATTTCTAAATGTAATGATAATAGCAGAAAATAAAATCTATATTCAGTGCTGAAACATGGTTACTGATATTGCATTAACAAATTAATCTGTTGATCTGGCTTAGCATTAAGTAATGATGCTAATTTACACATCAGCACCTTTACACAAAACAATATAACAGGATGTCTTTATTAACTAATGAATATATATAACATTTTTGCCATTTCTACATTAAACTGAAAGAATGCACTTCACACGAAAGCTTTTCCAATAATGTCATTTTAAAACTAGATTAGGTCTGTATAATATGGAGTAATATAAAAACAATATTGGTTCCACTTTCTATATTGCATGATTCTGTGGTTAATCCGTGAAATTTATATTCTGTATCACCTATCTATCTGTCAAGAGTACTAAATTTTTATGCGTTTTTTTTGCTCATACAACAAATGCTAGTTTCATTGCAGTCTATTGTAAAACTAAATTTTCCAAACCATTTAAATAATTTTATAAAACGTTCTTTCCAAGATAAGAAGAACAATATCATCGTATTTATTACGTAGCATTGTAAAAGCCGTGAACCAATTTACAGAATTAGAATAAGTGCTGTTAAGACTGAACAGATTGTGTTGTAATTCTCATACAATAGTCATTAAGTAGTTCACTATTGTCATAGAATTCTTAGGACATTTCATTCACATCAAACATGCCAATAGTCATTTTCTAATCAATTGT